ATGAATAGGACTTCGTCGCAAGTTCATCACTCGGTAACCCTCAAGCCAACTCTATGGTCGAGCGTGCTATCAAACCATACGTAATTGATCGCTGTCAAAACATCAATGCCAGGACGACCTCGTGAATGGATCCTGGGATGGAGTTCTCACGGCGGTTCGCTTTGCAATGAATGCCACGATTCTTACCACCTTGCGCGCAACGCCCGCACAGTCGTGTTCAATCGTGACGCGATTCACAACGTCCGGTTCGAAGCCAACTGGAAGTACATTAAGGAACGTCGCCAACGACTATCACACAAAACAACGACAGGGAAAACGTGACTCGTGTCCCTCATCAATACAATGTCAACGATACCGTGATGATTCAACAGTATCAGCACCGCAAGTACGGTAGCCAAAGTACAAAGGTCCTTACCACTATAGACCGAGTCAAATGACAATGGACTGTACGGCTCAACATGCTACGCCAACGGCGGCACAGTCTACCAGACTTGGACAATAAGGTATATACACCCATACAAGGCCTGATCCCCTGTAGGATTGCCATCGTGCGACGCACATGTCTACATCCAAATCTCATGAGAGTGCCCCGCACTTTAAAATCATATGTTCTCCTTGTCCGACTGCTGTCGCGGCTTCTGTGACCCTTGTCAGGGGGCGAATGCAATACACGGCTCTTAGCCTTATTCGCGACTCGATCCTAGATAGGGTTTGAGTTTGACTCATGACTGAGTCTCTCGTGAATAGTCATTTGAGACAGGGTTCCAAATGACCGCCTAGTCATACTAAGTTGATGATGAAACATCGCTCTAGATATTTAGCCAGTGGAGTACTCTCACGCTACTAGATCCAGGCTAGACAAACCTTCCACGCGTTCCGTTTTTGGAGTGTGTGGGATCGTGGAGAGACGTAGGATTACTACCGCAACCTACTCTATCACACTTTATAGTCTCCCGCGGAAGCCAGATCTACGATCCCTTGATGATGATCTCTCTCGTTGATTTTTTCATAGCTTTCTAATCTCTTCTCTCTCATAACTTTCATTCTCTCAAACTCAAAACACTCGAAAGATCTTTACACTAGCTTTTAGCGTAGTGCAGAGAAGATTGAAATGATTTAAGAGACGAAAGCAATCGTCTCCTATATTTAGGAGACAATTCAGTAGGAGACATTCCAATTAGGAGACGACCGTTTCGAAATAGGAGACGATCCGAAAGATTTAGGAGACGATACCATACAGTTTACATGGTACACTTAGGAGACGATCCGTTGAGAATAGGAGACGATCCGTTGAAAATGGGAGACGTTTTAAGAGGAGACAAAAGATTTAAGAGACGATCCTTTTCGTCTCCTATTTTTAGGAGACGAAATCCATTAAATAGGAGACGATCAAAAGGATTTAGGAGACGAAAAGTAGCACGACTCGAGTTGCCACATAGGTCCTGGAGTTCCCACAATCGAATGTCATGATGATTGCTGCACCAGTTGTTGTGACAACACTGGGGTTTGCCTTGCTAACTCGATTGATTGATTAATTAATTGATTGATTCACTCTAAACAATATTGGCGTTCGGAGAATGCTCCTTTAAATCCCCCCGTAATAGGGATTCCCATTTCATTTTTAAAAGGCAGGTTTGGAAACCGCCGCTAAATATAAACGATGAATACATCGAATCATCGAATCCTTCCAGTGGATTTGAAATTTGAAAACTTCCCTCCCATTAAATCCTGTCTATTTCAAGGCGGATTCTCTTATTATAAGACTCCAAATTTTGATTTAAATATCGGGACAACTCACTACCGTATCATTGGCGCCTACCTCCGGAACCCAGACGTTTCCTTGGAAGCTCACCGACCTGGACAGCTCAAGGATGCCGTATGACATACTGGTAGGTACATCAGAGGCATTGGCGAATCAAACTGATATCTATCTATCTAGATAGAACGATAGGAAAAACTAGTCTAATCAGCTATCTAGCTAGCTAGTACCTTGTTTGGTCCTCACTCCGAAAGATCTTGCGAAGCATGGTGATGACATCCCATGCAATCAAATCAGGATGCCCACCCCGACCCCCAGTACATCGATGTCCTTGTTTGAACCGAGAGTCGGAAACATCCGTGTTACAGGTACCTACTTGTGCTCGACTGTCGGAGCTGCATTCATAGACAGAGGGGGTCTCCTCGTTCTCATTCTGCTGTTGCAACTCTTTCATTTCATGAATGTACCTTCGCCCATCTACAAAATGGACATTGGTTTCGTGTTTCACTTGTTCCATCATTTCACTGGATCGCACGGCAAACCTACTGGCAAACGCAGAGACATAAATGATGGGTCCTCCATCGTATTTGTCTGCTACATCCTTGACTGTTGGTCCGGGTATATCACCATCCACTGTCAGTTCTGGATATGTCTCTTGAAAGGCTGTCATCAGTGCCGCCATTGCCTTGTCTGCTCCGGTTAGCTCGGATTCGTCATTTTCCTCTTCGGCTGATTTATGGGCACCGTTGATATTTCCCAAAATAATCGCATCCATGGAAGAGAGAGGCTGTTGGATGGTATTCTCGAGTAGTATAGTATCCCAGTCGAGTGAATGGAAAAAGGGACTATTGGTAACGGCATAAACAATGAGATTGTGTTTCATCTGGACCTTTAGAACTCCCTGCAAAGGATGTTCTGGGACGGGGTAGAGCATGGTGGAATCAACGACTTCGTCCTTGTACTGACAGAGCAACGTACTGGTTAGCTGGCGGGTATGCGAGTTCCCCATGATCAAGATGGATCGGGCTTTATTGTTTCCTTCCGAAGAAGAGGCAAGGATTGTCGAGCGTTTACCCCAGTTGTATCCTTTGGCTGCCCTCTGTTCGATCACTTGTTCCATCAGTGTGGCGAATTGGTTGTAGACATCTCCGGCACATTGGTATCCCAATGCCATGACCAACTCAGGTGTCTCAACCTTTGGTTGGCCCAAGACTGGGCTAGGAGAGATGCGGCAAAGACGAAACTCATCCAGGTTGAAGGCTGTGGATTCCTCACCGCTGTCGGCTTCTTCACTAGAGTTCAACTCATTATTGTTTGTTGCTAGACACCCTCCTTGGGCCAGCACCAGAACAACCACCAAAACTGCCCAAAATTTCTTGAGCGGGAGGATCGAAACCATGTTTACCAGGTATTGTTGGTGTGTGTGTACAGAAGCTCTCGTTGTACTTTATGGAACTGCATCGGCTCTATATTGATGCACTTACCATCGGAGACCCGACGGATTAGATTTTGCTTTGGGCGCAGACGGTCTTTGTGGCTTTGGTGACAGAGCCGATTTCAAAATGTTTTGCGACCAAGTTTCGGCAGCTGTGCAGAGTGTGGTCGTGTGAATTAAATCTTTGAATCAGAGTCTGCTCGTTCCCGAAGGTCATCAGTACATAACGGTGCGATACTGTCATGAATGGGCGACCTGATACCGGTACCGGTACCAGGTATGCATACCGGTACCGGTAGCAGGCTGGAACAATCGTTCCTACGGTACGGTAGCTAGCCAGTGGCGTCTTCAACTGTACGGTACGGTAAAAGATACCGTATGGTCGGGATACTTTCACAGCAGCATCGTAACAAACGTTGCTTGCCACCTAAGTAGGCTGGATAACCTGGCCAGTATGGATTTCAATTGCTTGATAGAACCCTCACCGCCACTGCTCCCGAAACTTCAATCATCATTCAGATACGAGGTGTTTGGCTGCACACCTACCATGGTCTTGCTTCCCGCCTACAGTAGCTAGACGTCTGCTCAAAGGCCGAACTGGCCCCGGCCCATGCCAGAGAGGCCAATGAGACCACGTACATCGAAATCTACTGAGTGGAGAGTCCAGCTCTACCGGTACCTACTCTCTCGCATGATTTCGGACGCAACACTGCGGTTGGGACCCCTCCCAAAAGTAAGTATCCCCACCTCTATTGAGTCATGGTTGCAGGTTCGCAAGACTGAGACTCGCCCTTGTGCTGCACAGCTGCAAATGGGTTGCCTTGTTGCCTTCAAAAGAGATGAGCATGTCGACAATACGGTCGTCTACTGCTGCTACTAATAGTCTAGCATCGTCCTTGGGGATTGATGAAGAGACTCGGGTGTTGATCCTGAAGAAGACGTGGTGCCATGGTCAGCTCATGCTGCCTGTGTTTTCCGTCATCTACTTATACCTCTTTTTCACTTCTTGGCGGTATCATGTCGTCTTGTTGTTTGCCGCCCTGGTGCTGCCCATCTGGTCTTACCTGTCGTATCAAGCTGTCTCTGCTTCGTCATCCATCGCAGCAGCAGAAAATAACCCTTCGCCAGGTCTGTTTTGGACTTTGGCACTGTTGGTGGAAATGGCACATCTCAGCATCTTTTGGGTTGCCATGGGAATGGAAGAACGAACCTCCATCACGATGCTTCTCATGATTGCCTCGGGACTCTTCTTTATTGAAACACTGGCCTTTCTCATGGTAGTAAGGACACTGGGCAATCGCAGACAAGACAGTGACGTTTACAATGCAACCTCCAGGTTGGTGTGATCTGGTACCGGTAAAGTGGCAGATCGTATGTGTCACCGCACTTTTCTCCTTTATTCAAGTTTATGAACGGGTACAGTGACCAGATAATCGTTGCCAAATGCCTTCTGAAACGGACATCAAAACAAGCCCAGCAGCTCCGTGCAATGAGTTGCTTGCATATTCTTGGTTACGGTGGGAGTTGCCTAAACTTGGTCAAACGTGAAGCAGTATTGTCCTGTACTGGTACCATCCCAGAAATAAATTAAGCTAGTAAGATACTAGTATGTATACATTGGTGTAGATCTACATTCCAAAATGCACCAGAGCGACGCGGTAGTTTGCAAGAGTAGCTCTCAGTACGTAGTGTTCGGGTGTGCGTATCGAAAGGCTCCTCCGTTCCCGACCTGCAGTACTCTTCAAATACTCCTTTGGTGGTTGCCCTGTAACGAGCTCAACAAGGTACTGGTACAATGCCTTGCTAGAAAAAGCTCATCAATCGAAGATGCCCGCATAGAATGATACCGACGATCGTGGAGCTTGAACCTCTACCGGTAGAGAGGGCTCCTCTCCCGCCTTCCAATCGTTTATACAGCTTTCACCAGCTTAAGTCCAACAAAGATACGGAAAGCACGAATGGTTGTCACTAGGCATTGCCTTGGTTTATCTGGCATGAATGCATCTGGTGAGCTTTGTTGTCTCCTTTGCCGTGGTGATGAACAAACACCCGTCACCTCGATGGATGCATATCATTCAACTGCGTAAAGAAGAGTTCAACAGGGCAAGGCACCAATGGATAGGAAGTCAACAGCCTCAGCGTCAGGAGGTGTTTGTTGATACCGTACACTGTACCAAGCAAGCATGAACACGAACATCGAGTCTTCTCGCTCTCGAGGATTGGCTGTCACAACAACATCTCCACCCGGGACGGCCTCTACGGACTCATCAGTTACCAAGCGTCGACGCCGGTCCCTCCTATGGACACGACTTGGTATCACGATAATGATATTTGCCGCAACGTGCAGGACAGGATTCTTCAGTACAAACCAACTAGCGCGTCTCTTTGTGGAACAACAAGAAAAGGAACAACTGCTGCTGCAACGTCACCATTTCATTGGCCACAGTATCAACAATAACACGCAGGCTGAAGGACCATCCGACAGAAGACGTCAACACGGCAAGCACTCGCGAGAGCCAAAAAAGAAAAAGAAGGCGAAATCCAAAACCAAACAGGACAGCAAACGCAAGGACACGTCTCCTGTTACCAGGGCAGGCAGTCCTGTCATAGTAATCCGAAAGGCTGCTGAAAAGTACGTGCGTACTAACCGGCCCGAAGCAGCAAAAGATGATACTAAGAATTTGAGGCAGTCCCTCGAGGAAACGACAACAACCTTGCAAAGGAACCAAAGAAAGAGGACCTCAACTATTACCGGTAGCGGAACTAACAAGAAACGGCGGCATGTTGCTGGAGTAGGATCATCCGTTGGAAACCAAAAAGTTATCCATGGCTTCATGGACAAAGATCCGAGTATGAGCAACAGCCTCCACAAGATGGAAGTGGTACACCCAAAAGGGCAGCAACCACAGAGTTCTAGCATGCCAAGGAAAGAAGCTGCAGTCGGTAAGATTCACACAAAGACGCTACGAAAAACTGCTGGAGCATATGTCCCAGAAACCATAGTCGAAACAACCAATGACTTAACACCAGGTTACGCGAAGAAGAGGCACACCACGAAAGGTGCCCCTCAGGAAAAGCCCGTCGCCAAAAAAATTCCAGTTCGGAGCAAGGTTGTCGCCAAGCCTCGAAAGAGTGCCGGGGCATTCGTTGACGCAAGCATTGCTCATGCAGCAGCCAGTAGTACCAATCCAGACAATCCAGCATTACCTGGAATACTCTCAAATCCCCATGCTACACTTCACGATCTTCTGCAGCCACAACGGCCCAAGGCTCGACGTTCCTGGGAATCCCGCGAGTTTTTCGCAGAACAACGAGCCCGCATCAAAGAGGGAAAGGATCCATTGCCTCCTCTCAATTTTGTCCATCTTCCCAAAACGGGAGGTTCCAGCATTGTTCAAGCAGGCATTGATGCCAACTTGAATTGGGGGGACTGCCTCTTTCAACAGAACTGGGCAGGTCGATCGTGTCCCGTGCCACCGGAGCATGCCTGGCCAATCGGTGATCCACAGCGACTGCATCGAGTCTGGTGGCATACTCCACTTGAACACCTGCCAGAAGGAAACATGACCACCAAAAACGGTAACTACTATACCTTCCCGCCCAATCCTTACCGTGGAATGGATCTTTTTGCTGTGATTCGGAACCCTTATGAACGAGCTGTAAGTGAGTTCTTTTATAGTTGCAAGGCTCGCCAGCATCTATGTAAAGGACTTTGGGACACTCCCGGAATGGGGGTAACTCTGCTCAATGATAATATCCAACATGCTGTTAACCAGATCCGCAAGTCCAAACCGGGAAGCAAGTACTACTTTTTCCATTGGGGACATTGGATCCCACAATACGATTTCTTTATCAATCGCCGGACGCAGCAAAGGATGGTCAAACACTTGCTCCACACTGAGCTCATGGCGGAAGAATTCCCTTCCTTAATGGCAGCCTATGGGCTTCACAACGTCAGCATGCCAAGCAGCCGAATCAAACCACGCAGCACTACTGTTGCGGAAGGAAAGCCACTGGGAGTGCAGAACTTGACGCAAACCACATTGGAAGCAATCGAAGATGTCTATGGCAACGACTTTTGGCTTGGTGGGTATTCCAAACTTAGTGGTCGATATCCTCTTCTGCAGTAACATCGGCCTGAAGGCAACATTGAGAGTCTACGTTCCAGGTGCTTTGGGGAAATCTTTGTCGAGTCAAGTCAAGTGATAAGGCGCTACTCGGAAAGACAAGCAAGACTGCTAACCGCTTTAGTCTGCAGCTGCATGACTGTCTGCTACAAATGCCGTTCAGGCATTGTTCACAGGTGGCTGGTCTAGGTCTCTTTCGATGTGTTTGATGTCAGTGTGGCAATGTTTCATTACCAGCCAAACAAAGTAGACAGTGTATTACTAGGCTTTCAACCTTTCAACAAGGCAATCAGGGCTCAGCCCATGATACCAGTACCATGGGTGGACAATGCTTGTGGAAACTAGGAAGTGGTTTGCAGATAAGGCAACGGACAAACTGAGAGCAGTCTTCGAGCGACCGGCCAAAGACAAAGTTCGACGCGACACAGACTAAACGCTCTTATCAATATTTTAAAATGTAGATGTATAGATTATATGTAAGTTAGGCATGTACTACAAGAAGAAGTTGACCCTAGGCGGATGGAGCAACGGTAAGGATATCTTTGTTGAGGAGGTAGAAGGGCCCAACACTCATTCCCAGCTTCACGACGTCTTCGTTGTCAATGTGGTTCATTGCATCCCACGATCGCATAAGCTCCATGGCCAATTTCACGCAGAAACGTGTTTCTTGAAAGGCCAGGCGCAGCGACTGAAGCCGGCCAAGATTGTTCACGACGGCCAGGATCACACCTCGCATGGCTGTCATGTCTTCCTTATCCCAGTGGGTACTTGCAAACTGTAAGGCGGAGTCGTAGAGCTGCCTGGCACTGGCTTGAAACGTTAGAGCGGCACTTGCATCATCAACCAGAATACCTTGGTAGTCCAGGGCGACTGCCATGTTGTAGAGTAGAACCACAATGGAACGTGTATGACTGGCGACACAGCTCGGAGACAACATCTGGAATACGCGGGGATAGAAATCAAGCAGCGCAGGGGAATCGGCAAGGAGATTTGCCAGGGCTTCCTCATTGTCGACAATGCTGACGGTGCGGACAGGTGGCAATGAAGATGGGGGCAAGACAGCGCGTTCGTGCTCCACAAAGGCGGCGTAATCTGGTTCGTTTGGTAGTCCGGACTGAATGGCTCGAAGAGCGCTCTTGAATGTTTGGATGGACTCGGCAATCTCCCCACTACGAAGCAGCGAGATGGCATCCATGTTGTGCTTCTTGATCATTTCAGCGACTGAATTCATCATGGTGACAGTAAATGTTTAGGAGGGGGGCTGGATGGATGAGGAAGGTTTTCAAAGCGATTGTTTGAATTTGTGAGCAATATAGCTTCGAGAGAGTTTGCTGCCTGTGGGGCTTCTGTGCCTACCGAGAGGCTACTGGAAGCATTCCTCCTATGAAGGAAGAAGATCGATTCATGCAGCCACTTTGCTACAGTTGCGACGAAATATGTCATAGCCAAGATCAAAACTTAGCCTGATCCTACTATAACCTAGCTACGTGTAGTACGACTGTACTTGGTATGCTGCCAGCCCGATGGGCCCTACGTGCGAAGTGCCGTTGTGCAACTTGTGCCGATCCGGTTCGCACCTGCAGGCTATCTCCTACATGTATCTTCCCTTCCCCACCTAGCACTTAGCTAGATCCACCCAGACAGAGAAGTTTTGTGGACAGTCCAAAGAGAAGGCTTTTGGACAGCCCACAAAACAGTATAAAACGCACCATGAAGCTCTCCTTAGATCTTTTGGTTTCCTGTGGGAGTTTTTTACAGCAGCCAGTCTCCTTCACTACTCCTTGGAAGGTTCTTCCGAGAGTACTTAATCCTCTTTCATTCCTTTTGGCTTCGCTCCAATATTCCCGCTTTCTGATTTCCTTCTATTAACGTATTCCACGGAAGCACACTGCGGCAACTGAAGCCTTTTTATCGGTGAAGTTCTTCGGACCCAACATTGTTTTACAGGTAGCATACACGTAGCAGCTCACGTAGCGTTGTATTTAAATAAATAGTGTAGAGTGTAGAGTGTTGAAGTGTTGAGTGTACTGGAGTGCTGGAGTGGACCATGGAGCTCTTGATATTGTGAGCTCATGTACCAGTAACCCGTCGACTTCAGGACCACGCTGGGAGAAGGGAGAAGTTTTGCAGTCTTGAGTTTGTTAGAACACGCAATTTCGAGCCTGTGAAGTGGGAAATCTGTGGTATTCTTTTTACACCATGTATGGGGTAGTGGATTGGCTTGCCACGTACTGAGTCACTGTAGGAAATGGCGTAGCTTGGACGTTTTGTATTTGATCTGCAACTTCCACTTGGAACCTTCTCATTGGCTCATCGCCCAGTGAGCCTATTATCGCAGCATTGCAGCAACCACAGCAATAACACAACCAACAATAGCAAGACTGTCGTTGCAACAAGGTCGACTACCACCAAGTCAATACGAGCCTGAGGATATATCTGGGGAGGATCTCTACGTTCGTTCTTTTGACAGATCGAGCCTGAGGATATCTCTGGGGAGGATCTCTACATTCGTGCTTTTGACAGATCCACATTGGTGCTCCAAGGAATGGCATGTAGAAGACGACAACGGAGATGTCTATCTCGTTCCACTTGGTTTGAGCGGAAGGCAGTCAGTGAAGGAACGCAAAGACTTGACAGGAGAAGCTTCGAAGCTTCGAAGCTTGGATTGGTTTATTGAACAGGCACTCTCCGAGAAGCGACCTCATTTGATGACATGCTATCAAGGCACGAAGTTTTCATAAGAGCTTCCGTCCAACTATTCGTTATGAGCGAATTTGGAATTGAGTATGGGAGGTGTGAAGATTGGGCGGAAGCTGATAGGAAGCTGGCTGAATGGCCTCAAATGAAACCCAGAGCAACGTTAGAAGTGAGAACAACAACCAACCAACCAATCTTGCACTGCTGGCAAATCTGGTTGTCGCCTGCCTACAAGACTGTCATTCTAATCCACTGTCATAAAATCAAGCGTGCCGCCAATGCACCAATTCAAGATGCAATGACAATCAATTAAACCCTCTTTCCACTTCACTGAATAGAAATTTTCAGAACAGTACAGCTCGGCTGCAAGAAGTACATCTACGTACATAACGGTAGCAACTTACCATCGTCCTACCAGCTTCTATCCATAGACCAGACCAATAAAGAAAATTTCTATTCAGTGAAGTGGAAAGAAACTCTCCCCCGCAGGGGGAGGGGAAGTTGAAAGAGAGGAAAAGAGGAGGAGGAGAGGAGGAGGTTCTTAGCTTTAGATGTCATGTCAGCCACTGCTACTTCCTAGTTTTTAAGCATAGCTCTGCTTTTCTCAAATTTGTGCATGTTGCTGTTGTGTGTGTTGAAATCTGCGCGACTGGTATCTTTTTGGGTTTAATTGATTGTCATTGCATCTTGAATTGGTGCATTGGCGGCACGCTTGATTTTATGACAGTGGATTGGAATGACAGTCTTGTAGGCAGGCGACAACCAGATTTGCCAGCAGTGCAAGATTGGTTGGTTGGTTGTTGTTCTCACTTCTAACGTTGCTCTGGGTTTCATTTGAGGCCATTCAGCCAGCTTCCTATCAGCTTCCGCCCAATCTTCACACCTCCCATACTCAATTCCAAATTCGCTCATAACGAATAGTTGGACGGAAGCTCTTATGAAAACTTCGTGCCTTGATAGCATGTCATCAAATGAGGTCGCTTCTCGGAGAGTGCCTGTTCAATAAACCAATCCAAGCTTCGAAGCTTCGAAGCTTCTCCTGTCAAGTCTTTGCGTTCCTTCACTGACTGCCTTCCGCTCAAACCAAGTGGAACGAGATAGACATCTCCGTTGTCGTCTTCTACAGGCCATTCCTTGGAGCACCAATGTGGATCTGTCAAAAGCACGAATGTAGAGATCCTCCCCAGAGATATCCTCAGGCTCGATCTGTCAAAAGAACGAACGTAGAGATCCTCCCCAGATATATCCTCAGGCTCGTATTGACTTGGTGGTAGTCGACCTTGTTGCAACGGCAGTCTTGCTATTGTTGGTTGTGTTATTGCTGTGGTTGCTGCGATGCTGCGATAAAAGGCTCACTGGGCGATGAGCCAATGAGAAGGTTCCAAGTGGAAGTTGCAGATCAAATACAAAACGTCCGAGCTACGCCATTTCCTACAGTGACTCAGTACGTGGCAAGCCAATCCACTACCCCATACATGGTGTAAAAAGAATACCACAGATTTCCCACTTCACAGGCTCGAAATTGCGTGTTCTCTGTTTAGGGCGGCTCGCGTGTCTCCTGAATCGCCGGTTCACACGAGGTGAGAAGATGCGAAGGTTTAAAGAAGCTTCCCGGTCCTTCCTGAACCAAAACTGGCCTTCTTGAGTACCACATCACCATTGAGTGCCGCGAAGGTGCGAAGCCATGAAGGTGCGAAGCTTGGATAGGACCGAGCCACAGTACCGGTAGTGGCAAACAGCAACGGGCAACGGAATTATCCGCAGCAAGCCGCAGCACCCAGCGCCCCAGTCCATGGAACAGTAAGACAGTAAGGAACAAATGGCTCTGCACATCGAAACTGTTCACAGTTGCCATCGATCCGCCAGACATGTAGAGTAACGAATCGGAGAATGAGGTCCCTTTACCGAACAAATAAGCAATTGTTCTTGTTACACCACTAGCTGTTCCACTCCTGTTTTGCCTGTGGCTGTAGCGCTTGCGGGCTTGTGGGTCGCCACTCACCACTAAAGCTCTAAGCGCAGGACTAGCTGCGATGTTGGATGCCAGCTGCAAACAGCGAACGCAGAGATGTATTACAAGGTGAACATTATTTTGAGATGTCTAGTAGACGCCGTTTTAGTGCGAGAACGGTGCTTCTAGAAGGTAGTAGCTAGAGCTGTAGCTAGTACCCTCAGACTTCAGAACTGTACTATGGTACCGGTAGCTAGTAGGGGTCGGTAGGGCTGTAGCTGGATTGGGCAGAAAAGGAAGTTCCAACAGAGACATCAATATGTTGGCTTTCTCAGAGAACACTACTTCATTCAGTAGTTTGGCTGGAGACAGTATATGGCAGCACGACGTACGACCTTGAAAAGAAGGTTTGGCTCCAAAACAACGCACTTGATTTGTTTTTCAGTTGCTTGGCTTGGTTGCCAGCACAGAAACAGTCATGAGTCAAAAGGATAGGGAATCTGCGTTCCCCGCCTAGTGAGCTCTCTTATGGGTGGGCAGCAAGAATGGTGAATTGGGGAAGAGGGAAGAAACACGACGGATTCCGTGCTGAAGAAGAAGTACATGCATGCACTCACCAGCTCACCAGAAGCCACCAAAGAATGAGCCTCCTCAATAATTGGTGCCCTTTGATCCCACCAGCCAACCCTCTGATCCCGCCAAGCCCAAGTCCTGAGTTGGGTCTCCACAATAGCTCTCGTCGTCGCCCCTAGGCGCTGAATGATTGCATTACATGTAAATGTACGAGGTATCAGGTTTGGCTACATGTATGCAGAACTGATGCATACGCATGATCCACTTGGTTTGCTTGGGAATGGCCACGAAACGTATACATAGCTCTCTCTACAGAGCAATACAGGAGCCAGGGGTGTTCTGACAGGACCTAGTCAAAGAACTTCTACATTCCAAACAAACTACAACTGCGGCACCTCTGCACATGAACAGGGGCTTCTTGAGACCAAGTGTTGGAGAAGCAGCGGAGGGGTGGGCAAGGCAGAACACAATTGGATGAACTCATTTTCAGTCTTGATCACAGTAAGCCACATGGTTGGTACTGGTAAAGAGGAACACATGAAGATGAATAGACAGAAATTCTTAATGTGCATAATGAAAACAGGAATTGGAGGTCAGTAGAGTCGAGTCATCCATTGCAACCTCATTTCTTTACTGATTGCAACTGCAGGAACACCCACAGAGCAAGCTTGTACAGTCAAAACCCAAACTACCAAATGCATCCAACCAGCAAAGATCAGATGGAATCCTACCGGACAGAAGATTGTTGGAGACATTGAAGGAAACCAGGGATGAACCATTGGCCAACCCACCAATCTCCACATGAATCTTGCCACTCAGTCTATTGCCAGCTGCATTGAGACGTGCCATTTGGGTCAAATGTCCCGGTTCCGATGGCAGTGGACCTGCAAAATTGTTGTTCTGCAGTGAAAGCATTGCCATGGATGACAGTTGTCCAATCTTTGTATCTATAGTACCAGAAAACTGGTTCCCACTCAGTGCCATGTAAAGCATAGATCGAAGATCCCAAGTTTCTTCTGGTAATGTTCCAGAGAAGGCATTGTTGTGCAAAAGCAGACCATACAAGTTTCTTGAAAGACCGATCTGAGGTGGCAACTCCCCACTCAAGTTGTTGTCTGGGGCTGTCGTAAAACTGAGCATAGTCAAGGGATGCTCATCAAAATTAGATGGGTTGTACAACAAGCCAAGTTCAGATGGCAAGTTGCCGCCTAGCATGCTGAGCTCCAACTGGGAATCTCCCTCCATTGACGAAGTTCAGATGGGAAGGGCCCTGTTAGTTGGTTTTGGTATAACTGAAAGGCTTTCAAGGAGGTCAAAAAGCCAAGCTCAGGTGGCAGGGGGGGCTGTGATGTTGTTCATTTGCATCAGAATGAACTCTGTTTGATTGAGTTGCCCAAGCTGAGACGACAGGGCTCCAGTCACTTGATTGGCAACAGAGACAAGCCTGTCATGCCTGTCAGAAGCCCAATCTCTGTTGGCAGGGAGCCCTCTAAGGCATTGTTGTGAAGGTGGCATTCAAGCCTTTTCAAGCTGCAAACCTCAACAGGAATACTTCCAGTCAAGTAATTTTCCTCTAGGAAGCAGTTTTGCAGGACTGGGTTCCAACAAGAAAGGAGCCCAACAAATCATGATTTAAAGAGGCTGACAAGGAACATGAGTACAGTGCCACACTTACTTTCCAGCATCCCAAGCTCAGTAGGAATAGTGCTGTGGAACTGATTTGTATTCAAGTAGATGCCTTTGAGACTTGTTGCAAGGCCTGGTTCTGAGGGCAGGGCACCAGACAGGCCCGTCAAGAAAAGCATCAGATGCTCCAACTTTGTGAGTTTTCCATTGTGACGAGGAATGCTACTGCTGCTCAAGTCATTTCTGTTTAGATCAAGCGCCTGCAGGGATGTCAACAGGAACAACTCATCAGGAATAGAACCTTTGAGTCCGTTTCCGTAGAGCATCAGATTCTGAAATCGTCCCTCATACACAGCAGTCATGTTGCCATCATAGATCCATGAGTCTCCACAGGGCTTTTTGGCTGCAGTTTGAGATTCGTTTTTGACCGTGACTCCATTCACTATGATTGTTGTTTGTTGGAAGAGAACATCTCGCTGGAACCACAATCACTCATTCTTGGTAGACATCCAGTCGATGTTGTCTGCCCAATCGTGTTCACCACCAGTAGCATAATAAAATGTCGCCAAAGCAAACCGTTGCACAAGTCCCCAGTTGGAATAGTTTGACTCAAGAGTATGGTTGCTCAAGAGCCACTGAGATGCTCTGGTCTGTGGGGAGGCATGTATATGTCACCCATGATGGAATTGTAGTAATCCTTTTCGATGGTGTGCCATGTTTGGGATGAGTGCAATGATCCGATCTCTCAACAAGTCCATGGGGTCAAGTGGTACTGCAGTTGTGCTTGCGTTGGAGGAGTTCGTAATGTTGGTTGCTACCAACGCCACAACCATATCATCTTTGCCACCACCCAGGAACACCACAAGCAGGACAGTGGCCAAAAAGATTGCTAGCAATCTTACTGATACAAAGCCTGCCGCACCTGATCTTGGCGTTTACGGCTGGCAAGCAATGCTTCCTCCTTTTGAGAATCCACATAAGCTGCCCGAGGCAAATTCTGAGGTTCTTCCTCTTCTGTCACAAGGTTGGCCTCCACGAGTCTTTCATTGTCGGCATGGCTAGCATTTGCATGGTGAGGAGGAGGAAGTTCATTAGACTCGTTCCCATCTTCTTGGGTTGGAGAAGGGACATCGCCTGCTGTGGGAGGATTCTCTTCAGCATATTCATCATTCAATCCCGACTGGGGAGCAACATCTTCCGCTTCACCTTCGTCTTTCTGCTACTGCTCGAGGGATGAGTGCCTCCTGTTGACTGCTTGGAGGGCTGTCTTCGTCTATTTCTTCTGCAGTAGCCGTTCTTGTTTCAGCTCTGATCACTCTTGACAAAACAGCTGCAGTAGCGGCTGTCGTCGTCGTATTGTAAACTGGTTTCCCTGTTTCCCTTGAAATCGTGTCATGGACGCATTCTCCACCACGGTAGTACGGGAAACTCGTTTCCTTTGTTTCACTTGAAATCGTGTCAAGCCCGCGGAAGGATTTCGCCGCCACAGTTCCCGGTGCGCCGGTGCCAGCGGCAGCACTGTAAGCTATTCTCTTTCTCTGCTTTTCTTGAAACCGGGTTTGGCCAAAAGAAGTTTCCGCGACGGCTTCTACCGGCGGCAAGGACATTGCAACTACCTTGGCAACACTGGCCAAAGCAGTGCAGGTAGTGGCGGTTCTCTTGTTTTGTTTTTCTTGAAATCGTGTGGTCACGTCTTGGGCCATGGCTCCTGGTGGGTCAGCACGACGACTTGCTCGTGCTTCGCGCTTCGCCTTGCTCTCTCCAAGATGTGAATGCTCTGCAGAATCTACGGCATGCGCTCCCACGGCATGAGCATGACGACGTGCATATTCTGCTGCTGCCTCGAGACGTCGTTTTTCGGCATGATCTCGGACAATCTGATGCGCTATGGACGATCCGGTGCCGTTGTCTCGCGAAGTGCTGCCACCATCATTGCCGCTCTCGTGGCATTCGACCAGGTCCTCCGCTTCGTTGTTGCTGTTCATGGACATGTTATTACGTACTCTTTCGTAGGGCTTTGTTCTCTGGCTTGTGCTGTCTGTGTGCACGCGGATCGAGTGGTCTGGAGAGTCGAGACGCACGCTAAGGAAGGGCGGGAAGCGGATCTTGGACAATCAAGTCCTAAAACCGAAGACACGTCAACAAGAAAGAGAAGACTTTGCGGATAGCGATGATCTGTGCCTGCAGTTTGGCTACAGTATCCAGCTGGGCCAGTGCGGTTGCATGGGAATGGTAAGACGATGGCTTCCTCATGGTTCAGTTGATTCGGGAGCTTCGTCTTCGATGCATGAATTTGGTTTTGCCAGGATTTAAGCCAGCAAGGCAAGGGCGTCATTCGTTGAGGCTCGACTGCACCTCTCTCGAAGCACAACTGCTTCAAATGCCACGGAGCACGGAGAAGAGATGCAACCGGAGAGGACGGTGGAACAATGTGGCTGTTTGTGGCAAGGCAAAACATCTGCTTTGGTTGGTTGTTTGTTTGCTTGTAATAAAGCAGAAGCCATGTGACTAATAAAGGGCGTTTAGAGTACGTACGAGTACATGTTGTAGTCTAGGAGATGATGGATTAGTTTGCACGGAACACAGTGAGCCAGTGAGAGAAGAAGAGCGACGAGTCTGTGGGAAAACCCCTGATGAAGAAGAGTCGAGTGACAGTCCAGGATCAGGGGCAATCAAGAAGCCATGCGACTGCTCGTGCAGTCTCGATCGCGAGTGCTTGCTTGCTAGCTACTAGTACTAGCTAGCTAGCCACTAGAGCTAGCTAGTATATAACTAAAAGCGCCAGCCAAAACCTGGCTGCTGCTTCCAGCATCCCTGTGCTGGCTGCCAAGTTAGGTGCTTGATACCGTAGTGCAGTCTCAATGGCAAGGTTGTGTTTGAGGGAAGGCGTAATAGCTATGTCAAGGATATACGGTACGTTATACAATATTACACGGGCAAAAGAATCTATCTATGGATGCATGCAGAATCAAATCAATCAATGAATCAATCAATAAGCAAGCGGCGGGTCTACTACTAGGCAGCCGGAGCAACCGGCAAGAGGTTGTCCTTGACACAGAGAAAGGGAGCCAGACTGTTGAATAAAAGTTCAAAGTCTTCTACATTTCTTCTTCGTGTGTCATCGGATGTACTCTCGTAGAGCTTGATGACCGATCGGAGGCAGTCCTTGGTGTCTGTAAAGCACAGGCGTTGTGCTTGCAACCGCCCCAAGTTGTTGGTGGCCGCCAGCAATACGCAACTCATGGCATTGACTTCTGCCCGGCCCCGATCACAGGCTACTTGCAGTGCTGTTTCGTAGAGCTTGATGGCATTCTTGTGCCATGCGGCTGTGGACTTGGTGTTCGTTTCCGAGGACTCTCTAGAGGCGGCCGCAAGCGCCATGGCATCAAAGGAGAGTGCTAGGTTGTAGAGAATGACTAGAATGGTCTGATGAAAGGATCCGACACCATCTTGGTAGGTCACCAAGGTAAATGCGCGGGGGTACATGTCCAACAAGTCATCGTCGGAGGTTGTGCTGCCATAGATAATGGCATCAATACACGCAATGGGGACGCTCTGAACCACGGAGGAGCTGGTGGCGTCTTCGACGACTCTACCTTCGTTTTCGGCTTCTAGCAATGTCGCTAGCGCTCTCTTGAGGATGGCAACCGCCGTCGGGGAATCGCCTCGTTCCAGCAAGGCAATGGCTTCATTGTTCAACTGGTTAATACTCGCAACGTTCATGGTGTGGAATTTATTTTGATGGGTGAGAGGCAGAATATTCTGATGGGGAATCGATTAGCTAGGCAGGGGTCTTGCAAGGGGGAAGCCACTGCTTTTTATGAACGATCTGGATCCCAAACACTCAAAGATTTCAGGTTTCAGGGTATAAAGGCCTGCTGCCGGTAGCCTTGCAACTTGCAAGTGTTCTATCGAGTCGAAGTCGAGTAGCAACCATGAACTACGAGTAGATCTACCAGCTACCGGTAGTAGCTCGCAAGTGGGCATGCTACCGGGCCCTACCGGCTACCGGTTTTCTTTGGAAAGAAGGTTCCACTCAGCCAAGCATGCTACATGTCATAGCTTTTTTGGCAACTGGTTCAGCAAACCTGCAGCTTACGGTTAGTTGCGCGGTTCAGAATTGGTGACTACTTTTGAGTATGCTGCTTGAGTGTGTGTTTCAGTTTGCAGCGACCCCTCAGTAGCCAAATGAGAAGCTTCACCTCTTGTAGATCTAGTCCATACAGCTGATGGAAGACGGGCCTCACAACCATTGTAAGAAATAAGACACGTGAAAAGGCGGGATTAGAGTACTGCCCCATAAACCTGGCGCCAAAACATCACCAAAACACCCACTTTCTTCTCGCAACCAAGAGTCTTAAGGCTTGCCGCGGTGCTCTTAACTCGTTTGCATCCAAGTAACTTTTTCAAGAGAATTCCGTCGCAACAGGTGGCCATTGAGATATAAAGAGATCTCTAGAAACCTTTCGAAGCCTTAAGTCTGAAAAATACAAAAGTGAGGGTCTGGACTATCTTTTCTTGAATCTTCAATCTAAGCGACGATGGTGAGATCTAAGATCCTACAGAACCTTCCGCATCTTTAATAAACCAGAAAGCTATACCGACAAGTGGGTCCTGGACTGTCCTGGAATGTTCTTTTGTTTGCTGTGCACGAGCCCGCATGCAGCCTTTCATCTAGATTACCACCGGTCCACTTTTATGGCTGTGAGCACATAAGTGAGACCACCATCAAGAGCTCTCAGTCATCAAACAAACCACCAATCACGACCAGGAAGCATTAAAAGCAAGTTACAGAGCCAGCGCTTGACATTCTACTCAGGAGTAGTAATTGCTTGGACAGCAGGTGCCGGGGCTTTGATCCAGCCTGCTTGGTCCAGCTAGAGAGGCAGCTGCTCAACTGCTCATTACTCAGTACTTATGACTGGTATTATAAACCAAATGAGCTACCAACTAAATGTTATGTGCATGCTGCAGCAGCTGCACAGCTGTAAGCTGCACATCATCAGTACTAGCTAGTATCGCGCTGTGATGAGATGTGAGATGATGTGCATAGACTCTACCGGTACCGTACCGGTAGTGCATCATCACATCATCGTACTTTACTTGTACGGAGCTCATGTACTAGTAGTAAGTTTTGGCCAGCAGCTCCTCGAGTTGCCCCTGCGGAAGATTCTTAGTAATTCCTTTGCGCTTTGTGGAATGCGTTGAGACGCTACCAGATTACGGTAATGGTGGCAGCAGCTACTCCAGACTCCAGAGTTAGGCCCATCTACATATTCCAGACTCACATAATTTATCTTTATTTCCAATCTATTTGTTGCTGCTTACATAGATTACATGTGCTTTTGGAGGTCTCTGCAGATCTTAGGGCTGCTCCTGCAGCCATTGCCGGCTGGCCGGCCAGATAGCTAGCAGGTCTTTGGCCACAACGGCAACAAATTCAACAAGTCTTCAAGTCTTTCTGTAGCAACGGAATACAGAAGTCCATCTTCGGTCATCCACAGCAGCAGCCTTGCATCAAAGAAAATAACATGCGAACTGTAAACTGTACCCTAGCCAGCTAGCCAGACTACAGACTACCCTCTAAAATTTAATCCAGTTTTTGGCTTTTCGGAAAATCTAGTTCTAGCTGGTTTGAAGATGTTCTATGAACAAAGTTATATAAGTCATCGTTCTGCACTTTCAGATTAGTCTTAGAGCCTGATTCCCCATCAGAAAAGAAATTCCGATAACTTTGGCAACTTTCCTTTCCTTGGCATTTATTTGCCTTTTCATTCAGTTTTGAGCTTCACCCAAAAGCCAAAAGCTGAAAAGCTGCTCTGGTCCACATCATGTATGTACATTATTTGTAGTACTTCCAGCTACGAGTACCGCAGTACCGCAGTAGGCATCCAACTTCATGAAGATTCTTTCATCATTCATGCCTCTGCGCTTGCGGCAATTGAGTTTGTTTGTTACGTGTAGTTTGGCATGTGCTTGGAGCTACATGTACTAGACTACTCAGTGTACGAAGCTTCATTCATTCTGGCCGAGTGAATAAAAATGCAGAGAAGCTGCAAAGCCTTCCGTAGACGTAGCAGCCACCTCGCCGTTGCTAGTTCCTGTGCTCTTGGTAAGCCGATTCGATTCACCAGTAGTTGTGGCTGGCCACCGTACTGATTAGTGGAAGCTATTAATACGGTAGTGGTTCATCAGACGCCTCGTCAGGACATAACTCCTGTCCTGCTTCACTGCACGGAACATTCTTTTGCTTGCCATTGTCGGTTGGAATCACATCACCGCATCACCGCTTGTCCCCTCTCTTGCGATGGGTAGTAGCCACATGTACCTGTACACAGCGTCTCTTGTTCACAAACATTGTGGTACTGAGCCAGGTTCATGAATGGCTCACAAAATGGTTACATAAGTGAACTGAACCAGTTCATGAACCTGCTTGACTGAAAATAGTTATGAACTAGCTATTTGAACTGTTCATGAACCTCAAATTGGCTTAAAATGGCCCGATTTTGCATTGATTTTGGTATTGTGAGCTATGAACAACTGTTCATGAGCTGGCTAAACTTATGAACTAGCGTTCATGAACGGTTCATAAACACGGTTCATTGAACCAGTTCATATTCATTGAACTTTTTGGTGAACAAGAGACGCTGCCTGTACATGTCATGTAGGGTCAGTTGAATTTGGTGCCATAATTTGGTGCCGGTGCATGTACTACTGTAGTGCTGCTTGATTTTTGAAGATGCTGCAGTCTGCAGTCAACACGAAAACAAACCGGCACGGTTTGACTGTTTGACTGCAGAAAGCAGGCTGAGTGGGAATGACCACCTGGCCAGCCACATGGCTCCCAAGTGGGTTGTTCCAGCTGCTATCTAGTTAGATAGCTACTAGCTACTCGGTAGCTGGTCAGTTATTGCTTGAGTGTTAAGACTTTAACCCGTGCGGCCATAAACCACAGCCGGAGTGTGACCGGATCCTCTGCATCCACTGGGAATAAATAAATACTCAGTGAAATCCATGAGCCCCCCCGGAAGTCAATGGACAAGAGCCATCTTCGCCGTCCTGGCTGGCCTTGGTACCGGTATAAGTAAAGCCAATTGACTGTCTGCTTGATGAATCTGCAGCTTGTGTGAATCGAATCAGTGGGAGCTGCCACAGATTGCCCCACCAGTTACATCATGCACTTGAGTGGCGGGGAAACCTTGAAAGAGGGACCAAGGTGGTTTGGATCCCGTACCGGAAGCCTGGTGCGTCTTCTTGTCGTCTTTGAAAGAGATGGATCGAATGAAAGTACTTGACAGTGACATTTTCTGGGCAGTTGGCAGCAATAAAGTACAAAGTAAGAAGCAGAGAACAATCCTCTTCTTTTGAAGATGAGAGTGCTCTTGCTAATCACCCGATCATACCTGGATCAGTTGGACTGGAAAAACCCGCACTGCCTCTGAGTGGCTGTCACATGTTCCCCGTGTCTACCAGCTAGCTAGTTGGCGGCATTACAAGATACGATGCCTGCTGGCTGCCCGTCATCTGTTGGTGGATTTTAGAAGCTGAATATCGCTTTTATTATTAAAAGATTGTTTGATGTACGATTGATTGTCTCGCCACCCGTGCCAGCATGTTTGATTGGTTGTATCACCAACCAGAAGGATTGATTGTAAAGACATATAATATGTTCCTACGGCAACCTGTAACATGCTTTTTTATAAGCTGGGAACTCTCAATTTGTCAAGGCTTAGTCAGGGGCTACTAACGTCATTTTCCATTTCATTGATGATCGAGTCAAGGTCGGTATCCATGGCAATGCTTCCGTCCGCGAGTGTTTGGTCCTCATCCGGCGTGTTGCCATTGGAGCTAGGAGTCAGGTCTTTTTCAGGGGAGACTTGCTCCTTGTCCTGGGTGTTGTCCCGAGTCTTGTCGACCGTGTCATTGGGATCCTTATTCTGTGCTGGGGTCGTGCTGTCTTCGCTTTCAACTTTTGTTTTTTGTCCTTGGAGGTCGTTGGAGCTAGGAGCCTGGTCTTTTTCAGGGGAGACTTCATCCTTGTCGCGGATCTTGCTCTTGGTGCTGTCGGTCGTATCACGACCTCGATCATTGCCCATTTCACTGATGACCGAGTCAAGGTCCATATCCATGGCCATGCTGTTGTCGCTAAGATTCTGCAAGGCTTCCTTGACTTTTTCGTCCACCTGCTTCTCGACAGTCTCCTCCACCTTCTTCTCGATTGCTTTGCCGAGCTCTTCTTTGATCGCATTGACCTTCTTCTTCTTGGCTTCCTCCTTTTTCTTTTCCTTCTTGAGTGCTTTTTGAACCTGCTTTTGTACCTGTGCTGGGCTCATGCCGCCTCCGTTGTCCACCACTTTGGCAGGGTCCGCATTTGTTTTCTTTTTCTTCGTTTCCTGCCTTGGCTCGTGATCCTCGTCATCACTGCGCCTCCTCCTCCTCTTTCTCTCACGATTGTCATGATCGCCACTGCGTCTTCTCTTCCTGTCGCGTCCATCGTCCCTCCTCTTTTTGTGGGTGCCACCGGAACTCCTGGAATGATCCCTAGAGTCTCCATCGTCTGCTTTGTCGTCTTCGTCATCCTCTCGTTGTTCCTCTTCCTCCTCCGTGTCTTTGCATCTTTGTGTGTTTCGGTTCTTGCCGGTGCAGTTCAAGCGGCGCCGCCCGCCCAGAGGCACCGACTGGGCATCCAGTACAGCAGCAGCAGTGGGACCACGAAGGCTTCCGGGGGCTGCCATGGCAAGAAGTGGGATCACGGCAACAATGGCATCAAAAAGGAGAGTAGTAAAGCGCATGTTGGGTGTGGTTCACAACGGGAGATTGGAGATTGGATTTTGATTTGGCTGTTTGTGTTGCTTTGCTTTGCGCTTTTGGAGCGTTTTGTTTTGTGAGCACCTCTTTCTCGCTCCTTTAGAAGATTTCTTTGGATCTTTGCTTCGGATGCGAAGTCATTGTCACTGGTACGGTAATAGTCTGTCATCAACAACCATTCATGTCCCCGTATTCCTCAGAAACAATGGAAAAGAAGAACATCAGGAAGGTCCTGCGAAACATGAAAATCTGGAATTGAATTCATCACTAATTGAATATTTTCATCACCATTCATCACCATTCAACACATTGGTGATGAATTCATCACCATTCATCACATTTCATCACGGTTTCATCATTTTCATCACCATTCATCACCATTCATTATCTCTATAGTAAAACAGTAGTATTTTTCATCACGATTCATCACCAGTCATCACGAATTAATCATTTTCATCACCATTCATCACCATTCAACAAACTGGTGATGAATTCATCACCATTCATCACCATTAAACACATTAATCAAGAATTCATTATAATGAAACTATTTCATTATTTGCGGGACCTTCCAGTGTAAGTTTAGGTTTGCTCAGCCGCAATGATCTCTGTACGGTACGGTACCGGTTTCTATCTGACCGCATGAATACATGAATACTGTACCGCGAATAACGCGGCTGCAGTGCTAAGATTCGATTCACGAATTCCAGGAGGGCTTTGGCGCCATAACACTTCATGAGATACGCTACTAGCTAGACCACCGGTATCCAGTACTGGTACCAGTACCTGGTACCGCTATGCATACCGTACTACTATTAAAATTTTAAAATTGCATATCATACTCCGTTTTTGGATATAAACCCTAATTTAACCCCATTTCTGCATTTCAGACGCATACGTCAGTCCGATCATCGGAAGGTGCCAAAGTCGCAGAGAGCTCCAAAAGGGGTGCTACGGGTATCTACCGCTACAGTACGTCGTGGCCAGTAGGAGAGAGGAGTGTGATCCCATTATTTGTTGGCGTACAGTATAGAATTGACAATGGTTCCGTTGGTATGGCTCTGCCCTTTGCTGTTAATAATTCTCTGTGGTAGTAATACGAGAGCTGTAGTGGCATTGTCATCCATCGAAACCCCACCATGGCTGACGAGTCAATTGGCCGAGTTTGACCTGCAAGTCCACGGATTTCCCGAGACGGGTCGAGGTCTTGAAACGACACGCGATCGATCGGCCGGAGAAGTGTTGATTCGAGTGCCCCAAGACAATGCCGTCACGGTCTCGTCGCTCTTACGAAAATACCCCATCTTGTCACAAGCGGCCAATCGAAGCATTCAAGAATTCAAGGTCCAATTGACCGACGAACAGATACTGGCCGTGGGAATTCTACTATTGAAACACGATGGGGATCCCTACGCGATATCGTTACCACCTCAGCACTCGGTACTCCAAATGCCTACGGAATTCTTAGCCTGGTTCCCCCATGCGTATCGAAAACTCATTCAAGCGTACCAGCATCATTGTCTCTTTCTACACGGTTCTGTACTTCCAGCCTTGTCCTCTTCCAATGACAATGACAATGACAATGACGACAATCATCAGCTCAAGTTACCCATCAAGATTACCGAAGAGGACTTTTACTGGGCATTTGCCACGGTACGATCTCGTTGTGTCGGTATGGACGGACCCGACGATGAGGGGATACGGACGGGTGGAGACGGAGAAATCCGAGTCATGCTGCCGGGATTTGACCTCCTCAATCATCGATTTGGGGCACAAACCAAACCTTACCAAGACGACGACAACTATGTCATTCAATCCAACAATGACTACAAGAAGGGCGAACAAGTCTATATTTCCTACAGCGACCAACGACAAAATCTCAAAATGCTCATGACGTACGGATTTTGTGTCCCCCATAATCCCACAAAAGTCGTCTTGTTGGATTATGAGGACGTCTTGCACGCATGTGCCATGGCACGACCTCAATACTTCAATCCCACCGTACAGGGACAAGTGTGGCAACTCTTGGGAAAATTGGACAAACAACGAGATTTGCTATCGTTCCAAGATGGAATTCCAGACACCACCCTGAAAGAAGGCATTCAAGTCATGGCCGAATTGCAGAAACAATTTCTCACAGAACCAGATGCCTCATTTTCCAATGACGTGCTGGAAGCATTGCTGGAGGCTCGTCGCACACAAGTGAAACACGGCATTGAGCAAATCACACAAGCGCAGCAACAAAAGGATATAGAGGCAGACTGGATGCCCATGGCGAGCTCCATTCGAGTACTATTGGAAGAGGAACTCCAATTCTTGGACCAAACCAGTAGTACTACTAGTACCGTGTGCGACGAATGAATGAGAGGATCATATCATGTGGATACAACGGCCCCTTGTGATGTGGGACAGCAAAAGGGGAAAAGCTTCACTCGGTCCTGAAGAGGAGGGCACCTCGTGGCAGGGCTCTGGTCCAAAGTGTTTGAGGTACTCTCCTCGTGCACCGAAACCGAAATGTGATACTGGCTAGCAGGACCGAACAAGAGGAAGATTGCCATTGCCCAGGTAACGGAGCGGATGTGGAGCACGCACGGTTTGGAAAAGTGTACCCTGGCTATTTGTCGTAGATGCTACCGTACGAGTACTAGCAAGGAATCGAATCAGATCTATAAAATATTGTTTTCTTGTGGCAGAGAAATAATGAAATAACACATTCCTTGTTCGGATGACCTGCAGCCAGAAAACAACAGCGCTGCAGCCCCAATCTAATTTCTGCTATTGATTGAAGTAAGTATGAAGACCTAGCTGGCTAGCCCTGCACGGTTGTTTCCAGCGGAAAGCAAAAATAGATATTCTACTAGCTAGATGTCAAGAAAGAAAACCACATGCTTGCGACGATCTGATCAACAAAATTTTGATCTCCGTCACAGGGAATCGAACCCTGGTCTCCCGCGTGACAGGCGGGGATACTAGCCACTATACTATGACGGAAGCTTTCTTGCTTTCTTGCCTACTGTCTCGATTTTACAATTTACAAAGTCAAACGGACTAGCTATGTTTAGAGCAGAGTCTATGGTCCATTGGGCCGTGGAGTGCAGTGCGGATGCGGCGATGCTTTCAAAAAGAAATTATGAAGTCCGTGAGCCACCCGCAACGTCTTCTGGACTTCGATAGCCTGCTCATTCATCCAACTTAGCCCAGACCAGAAGACAGGCAGGGTCCAGGACCCCACCTTCGTTTACAAGGCACACTCCCACGAAGCAGGCAAGCAACTTGAACGGGTTTTGGGTGTTTTTCCCTAAGGCAAGCCCAAGCAGAGCGTATGCATGTGTTCTACTAGTATCTAGAAATTATTAGTGACCAGCAGTTGCTTGGGCGCCACCTTCCGCGCCTCTGATCAACTCTGTTTAATAAGGAGCTTGTTCAAGCCTCGCGCTGCTCGTGTCGCCTCTGGCTCAGTGAAAAAACGTTACTGCGACCGCCCTTTCCTTACGATCACTCGATGTGCTCCTTCTCTTGGGGTATCGGAGCTTGGGGTATCCGGTCGGGAGCTGGGTATCATTTAGACTTCTCGTGCGCTCGTTCGTAGGAATCACTTCTACACAGCACAATCGCAAAGTATACCATGAACTTGGCAGGAACCACCATATCGAACCAGACATGTCCACCCCAGTGGATGAGGTAGTTGTCACAAAACAAAGCCTCTCCAAACGCCGCCAAGAGAATGGGAATGTCCACAAGGCAAGCCTCCAAGTCGTAGTAAAGATCTTTCTGATGGGGAGGCATTGCCAACTTGCGAAAGGCTGAATTCAAAAGAACTCCCATCAAGACGTGAGTAAAGAAGAAACGAGTTGGGACCACGTAGACTTGGAGAGCATTGTGGAACACCGCGAATACCAAAGTTTTGGCTCTGCTTCGTTTGGAATCTGACATGAAACCATACCAGACGGGCAACAGCGCCACAAAGGCCGCCACCTTTCCCCTTGGGCCCAGGCGTTCAAAAGCCTTCGCTGCAGCATCGTCTCGTTGCGTGTTGATGGCCAAGAACAAATGACCGCAGCCATGTCCCAACAGCGTCAATGCATTCTTGAACATGGGTGACAGTGCCTCCCAGCGCATACCTCGGCGTTGGTGGCCCCAGTAGACGAGGCCAACCATGAGCATGGCCATGGCGGCATCGGCATAAAAGCTAATGGCATGACTTTGAACCGTCCAACTCAATTCGCGGTTGCCGATGCAAAAGCCCGCGTCAATGTAGGACTCTGAGAAGAGGTGCATCCGTCCCTTCTCGTGCTCAACGATGCATGCGAAGAAGGCCAAGGACAGGACGATGGTGATGCACTTTGCGATATCACCCGCTCGCCATTGGATTGAAGGACGCAACCCCCCGAGGGTTGATGACATGTTGATGCTTCTTTGCAGGGATAACATTTCAAAGTTAAGTTTTGTTTTGAGAATAACAAGGCGAAGCAAGAGACGGATCGTCCTGGCTCGATCTATGTGTTGCTGTTCCACGTTTGCCGGAGAGCCAGTCGTGTGCATTGAAAGGACAGGGAAGTCATCCACTCTTTGCTTTGCTGTTTGTATACCCCACTTTCCACACCCTGCGTGGTTCTTCGTTACCCACAATCGCAAGCAATTGCGTGGCGCCTGAGCGTTCGTTCTGTGTTGATGAAGGCGATCTTCCCCAAACTTAGGGTGCGCCCTCCCGTGTTGCGCTTGGTCCCTTGGCGTTCCTCCCTTCGGTACCAGGTACAGCTTAGCCGCTTTATGGCTTGGGTCCAAATCTTTTCTCGTTTCTGGGCTGTGTCTGTCTTGTACCGCATAGCCTCATCCATCGATCCTTCAGTCAGTTTTCCTGCGCCCAGAGCAACAGGTGGGGCCAGTTAGAGTAACATGGCGCTATTACAATCATTACTAAAATGGTCCGTTGTTTTATTTCTCGCTTTGGCTACGAGGCCCACGGCTGCCTGGATGGGAAAGAATCCGTTGGAAAAGATCCAGAATGATTATCGCGCCTTGACTCGACGGGTAACCGCACGGCACATTCTACTGCCACCCAACAGTGAAGATGCTTGTAACCAACTCAAACTGTCGATTCTGAAAAAGATGGACAACAACAACAACAACGATTCCGAAGAAGCATTCATTGTGGACGTCTTTGCCGATGCCGCGCAAAAGTTTAGTCGCGACGAAACGACCAACTACCGCGGTGGACTCATTGGAGAATTGGTGCCACAAGGAACCTGTCGATCCGCCATTTTGGATCGCAAATGCTTTGAAGTGCCACTGGGAAGTCTCCAAGGACCGATCGAGTCGGAATTTGGCATTCACTTGTTGCTGGTCACGGAACGCACCAATTGTCCCAAGTTGGATGGGCGCAAGACGCGGTTGGTGCCTAGCAAAGGCTCGGGGTACGGGGTCTTGGTGCCGTCCTCTGTGGCCGCCAAGGAAGAATCCCAAGTTACTTCCGACTTTTTGCTGGGACAAGCAGCCTTTTGGGCTTTTGCAGTTATCGCGGGTGGCTTGTTGGCCGAGCTAGTTGCCAACATTGTTCATTGAGGGATTCTCGCATCGATCGTAACGGAACTCTGAGTATACACACAGAGGATGGGCTCTGCAGCGTAACATTGGTTAACCGGTAGACGGACTTGAATGATTGCCATCGCACCGTGCACCATTACTGGTCGTGTTGGCTCCGTCATGTTCCAGGACTTACTTCCAAAGATGCCACAAGCCAAGATGACCCGTCCACGAGCAACAGCTGTGCACATCGGCAACCACGTCCAGTCTCAAACTCGTAAATTGGATCTAGCTAGGAGCTTATGTAGCTAAACAGTGAATCTTAAATCAACTCAGATGCAGTAGCTATCGCTCATAATCAGTCACGTCATTGGAAAAGCAGATTAGTTCAACGGCCACCAGTATGACGTCCCGCCTCCGCATTCTAAGGACCGACTTCCAGTGGAAGTTCATGACCAAATGATGCACGTATGTTGCTACATCAATCGACAGATCTGTCATTGCAATAAGCAAGGCAAATCCATGCGTCGTCGCGGCAACTAGTGCAGTATTCAGCCGTTCCGTATCATAGACAAGCAGTCAGCGACAACCACAGGAGAGCATCCAAAATTCTCGCTGAAAGCAACAAAACCACACATAGATGCCATGGGTTGTGCAACCTGTTTTTTGATGTTGGCGTCATTCAGCGTTGAGGGGGGAATGATATCCCAGGAATAAATTATGAGCAAATTTAGCAGCAGGATAGAAAAAATCAATTGGCAAGGCAAACCCCAGTCTCGTCACAACAACTGGTGCAGCAGTCAGCAGCACATTCGATAGTGGGAACTCCAGTTTCTGCATTTGGCAAACAGTCAGCCACAAACTCAGAAGTACCTCCGTAATTCTCAACAAAAGCAGCAGAGTAACATACAGATACAGGAACAGTGCCAGTAAGTGCATTCCCATTCACCAGAAATCGACGAAGCTTAGGCAGTGCCTCAATCTCATTGGGAATTGTGCCATCAAAATTGTTGTTGGATAGGTCCAGCCACTCAAGGCTTGTCAAAAGACCAAGCAATGAGCTGATAGTCCCAGAAAAATTGCAATTATTGCCCCAAAAAGTGTTGAGTTCTGAGAGTCCAGTGTAGAACTCTTCCGGGAGTGTCCCTTGCATGCTGGTGAAGGAAAGATACATTTCCCCCAACTGAGTTGCCAGACCAATCTCTGTAGGCAAGGAGCCAGAGATGTCAGTATGACTCAAGTTTAGCTTTTGCAAGTTTGACAGCATCCCAATCTCACTTGGCAGGGTCCCAGTAAGCTTTTCATGAAAAACATCGACCAACAAAAGGAGGTCACGTGAGCTTGCAAACGAGTGGCTTTACATCAATGGCAATGCAAATCCCTTACCTCATTAGAGTCAACAAGAAGAGTCTCCAAAGAAGCGATGCTGAAAATTTCTGTTGGTAGGGAACCTGTCAGTTCATTGCGGCCAACATATAGCTGTCTCAAGGGTAACAGCCCTACTTCAGATGGAAGCGTCCCAATCAGTTGGTTTGAATAGAGTTGAAGAGCGGTAAGCTTTGCAGGTCCTTCATCCAGATTGTCAAACCATCTTGCAGGGATTGCCCCTGTGAATTGATTCACACTCAACCCTAGATACTCCAAGGGGAGGCTGGATTCTGTGGACAGTAGCTCTGGAGGTAGCAATCCAGTCAGCAGATTGTACTTTAAGTGAAGTCTTCCCAGCTGCAATCGTGTGACCTCCCAAGGGAGAGGGCCATTGAGCCAATTCCATCCTGAGTCAAAAGAATGATTCATGGTTAGAAGTAGCAAACAAAACAAAAAGCAGGGCTTTTATCGTACCAAGACCCAGCTCCACAACTGTCCTCTTCCCTGACTGAGTGGCCAGACAGCTTACACCACCCCACTGGCATTCATGACTGCGGGAGAGCCACTGATCCCCCCAAATGTCTGATGTTGCTTCGCCAGTCAAAGGATGAGGTTCATAACAGAGACCAGAAATTGCACTCCCTTGGGACGTTGATGGTGGATTGCACTCCTTCCATGGTTGATACCTTGTGGTTTGAAAATAGAAAAGAACCAAAAGAAACCTTTGCAACAAATTAGGAGCATCATACTCCAATTGCATTTGGTCCTGATTGACAATCCAGTCAAATGCCTTTTGCCTGCATTGTAGCAAGAATTGAGAAAGGTCGCTATCTCCAGATTCTTCCACCTGTTGAAAGTATTTCTTTCCCAAAACAAGAGTTAAGGTAATTTCAATCTTGGGTGCCTCAACAACATCTCTTGTTGTGGTGGGTGCCATGGTACTGCTGCCATCCACATATACCTTATGAGTGCAGTGTCCACTGCCACAAACAGCCCCCACAATGATAGCAGCAACCACCAAAAGGACGCATAGGCCTCCCATGAGATAGAAAGGTAAATTGCTCTGTTGTGGATTGAATTTAGTGCCAGTATCTTCGGTGGCAACCGGTAAGTCGTGGTCGGCAACCGGTCTTGCGTTTGCCAATGTCTCTGTAGGTAGCTGCGTCCCGGTATTTTCTTGGTCATCATCGTCAACTGTATTCCTCGTTGGCTCTTGCCGCAGATTCTCCACGACCAGAGTATTGTCTCGGTTGGAAGGGATTGGACTAGTATCCTGACCATTTCCTGTTCGATGTGGTTGCGGGGTGGTTCCGGAGGCTTCACGATCGACGGCAAACGCGCCTGGCACACCATTGAGCGCACAAATTGGTCTTCTAGTAACAGACATACCCGTTGACGATGGCGTGGCATCTTCACTGGCAGCAGACAGTATTTTCTCTTTGTACTGGAGGGGTTGGCCCTCAGCGGGGACATGGAGTTCACCCTGATCGGCAATCTTTCTAGCCAGTACCTCATCCTTACTACGTTCCTGTTGAATGGCAGGATCAACGCATGTACCGATATCAGCTTCGCCCCTAGGAGTTTCGAAGTCCTTGTTTCGAATTGCGTATATTTGGGTTTTCTGGTTGATTCTTGATTCCAAGGTCTCCACCGATGGAATATGTGCCGAAGCATGTTCTTGGGTGGTTTTTTCTTGTTCTTTTAGGATTCTAGTTTCATCCAATTTTTTGCTTGTTGTAGTACTCTGGCCGTCTGTGGGGTCTTGTGAGGATTCCTCCTGAAGTGGCGGCAAAGCTGAAAGTGTCGTTGTTGACTTTGTTTGCTGTGTGATTGGCTGAAAGGTGGGATCCTCTACATCGTCCGTGTCGTGTAAATTCTGCAACGAAGGATACCTGCTCGGGCCAAATAGCTCAGCATCATAGAAGTGCCGTGTCGTGACAGAAGAAGCACAGCTCATGTCGTCGGGTCCTGGGATGCTGATCATACTGGGCGGATCTGCGACCGACTCTACATCGTGCTGCGTTGGTTGTTGCTGATCCCAGGTGCTCGCTAATATCCCGCCGAGATCAGCTCCACTGTCACTTTCACCAGTATTAGAAGCCATATTGTAACTATCACACTGGCTAGCTACCGACTCGACTCGACTCCCTTTTATTAATCAGCTTGGATGCTTGGATGCACAAACGATGAACTTTATCTTACTTCTACGACTGACTTATCACCCTACCTCCAGTTGACGCATGTGGAGCTTCGCACGACGCATGCGCCCCTGCAGCGAACTTCAATTATTCTTTTCTCGCCAGGCCAATAGATGGATCGTGCAATATTATTGCAACAAGAACGTCACGGTTGTACTACTCGTACTCGTAGCTAGCTAGTTAGAAAAGCTTTTGAAACTTCAGAACATGCGAGCCCAATGGGATTTCGTTTTTGGCACGAAGATGACATGGACCCACCGTCTCTATTTTTGGCTCGAACATTCCATTGTTCATGCAACCACCAAGGGTCACGAGAACCAACCGCCGTTCAATCTCCAACATACTGGTGTGTTTTACCCAAGCACACTCGTTGGATCCTTTGATGTTGATATCTCAGATTTAAAACGCCATAATCATCTATCTCAGCTTTCTAAAGAATCGAATCGAATCGAATCGTCGGCGATTGTGTTGGCCAGCCATACGGACAGTCCAGCCCGGAGAAAACAGACCTAGACCATGATGCCAACACTACCTCGACGACTGGGCAGCAATTCACTATTTGTGCCTGAGATCTCTCTTCCTATGTCGACAGGAGTCCCTCGTGCCAGGGCCTCTCTGGAACCCAAGTAGCTTATATCGTCTAGTTGACTGCCATCGTATTTTCGAGTTGCGCCGTTGTCTCAGATACCGGTATCAACGACGAAATCGGCAACGGCTGGGCTCCCGCCCTGTATCGCGTGTATACGGAAACTATACTCTTGCTTGTGGTAAGCGGTCTTACTTTCTGCCGGTGCTTCTGCTGGCCTTGAACAAAGTGACCCTGACCACCAGCCCTCCCCTGCAAGGTGTTTCCCAAGACTATGGGATTCGTGGTCTTGGCGGCCATCTGTGCCAAGGCCAGTTGTGTCATGATGGACCGCAATGGCGGTGGCGGCCAGTCTTAATAGAGCTCTTATTGGCATGGTCCTCGATGGAAGCCTTGCTGGGGCGGCAGATCTTCCGGTCCCTGCTGCTCTTGTCTGGATTGCAATTCTTTCCTCCCCGCAACTTCTCTAGTTCTGTAGATGTTCAGATCTACACTACGGTTTGGGGATTTGCATTCTATGGCAGTCAGTGGCTGTGAGGCAAGTCAATCTTGTGGTTTCGAATTGACGATGGCTCTTGGATTTCTTGTTCGAAAAGAATGGCGCATCCGGGTCAGAACCATCAAGACATCCCTCTTTTCGTAGGTCCGTATTGAAGTTGTGAACCATATCGCAAACGCTAATGCCATTCCTCGACCGCAGATAAAACGGTAACAGAATTGTCAACAGACTGAGTGGGGTCAATGCCTCGGTGATGCCATCGTGTCAACATGGCTGGATATACTACTCCCATCTCATTTCTACCTCAAGACCGTAAATACCTTCTTATTGCGACCATTGCGAGTGGAGAAGGACAGCCGACGAAGAAGAAGAGGAAGCATGGCATCCCGTGAGAAGAACTACCAATATAAACGTCATGCTGCACTAACTAAGCAGTAGTCATCGAGCTCACCCTTGCATCCTGTGAGCAGCCATTGGAGAAGACTTGGCTCAACTGGATCTAACTACTTATCTCTAAGCAAGTGCATTACACAACATCTTGTGTGCCCAATTCAGGACTGCGATCAGCCTTTTCCATGAATCAATCTAGTTAGCAAGGCAAACTCCTGTGTTGTCACAGCAACTGGTGCAGCAATCCGCAGCACATTCAATTTTGGGCACACCGGTCTCTTGATTGGGCAAGCAGTCAGCCACAACCAATGAAGTGCCTCCATAGTTATCAACATAAGCAGCAGAATGACATACATGCATAGGAACAGTACCAGTGAACTGATTCCCATTCACCAGCAATCGACGCAGCTCAGTCAGTGCCTCAATCTCATTGGGAATTGTGCCATCAAAGTTGTTATTTGATAGGTCCAGCCACCCAAGGTCTGTCAAAAGACCAAGTGATGAACTGATAGTCCCAGAAAAGTTGCAGTTATTGCCAGAAAAGGCACGAAGGTCTGTAAGTCCAGTGTACACTTCTTCCGGGAGTGTCCCGTGCATGTTTGTAAAGGACAAATCAATCTCCTTAAGTGTGCTCAGCAGGGCAATCTCTGAGTGCAAGGTTCCTGAAATATGGGTATGACCCAAATATAGGCCCCCCTTCAAGCTTGTCAGCAGTCCAATTTCACTTGGAAAAGTGCCTGTGAACTTTTTAGGAATCAAAGCAGCAAAGCAGGTCACATTGGCTTGGCTGTATCTGAAGATTTGTGACTAACAATAGAGACCAGCTACTTACGTCATTGTGTCCCAGCAATAATATCCTCAGGGAGGTGTGGGAAAAGAGTTCGACGGGCAGGGACCCATTCAGCTGATTCCGGTGCAGATAAACCACCTCCATTGGAAACAACCCCACTTCGGATGGAATATTTCCGGTCAATCTGTTTTCATAGATTTGAAGGCTGGTAAGTTTTGCATTTCCATCACGGAGATTTTCAAACCATCTAGCAGGGATAGGTCCTGAGAGTTGGTTAATGCTCAAGTGGAGTTGTTTCAATGAAAAAGAGAGCAGCTTTGGTGGCAGCATTCCACTCAGCATGTTGTCGTCCAAATGTAGCTGTTTCAGGTGTGGCAATAGTGCAATCTCCCATGGAAGAGGGCCATTGAGCTGATTCCACCCTGAAGAAAGGATTTCCGTGTTTTAGAAATCAATGACACAATCCACCCGCGTGTCCTCTGATACTACTTACGAACTGATACCCCAACAACTGTTTTCGCCTTTGTTTGCACAGTCTCACAGATCATTCCTGCCCACTGGCATTCATGACTGGCAGAGAGCCACTTATCCCCCCAAATGTTTGATGTCATCTCACCAGAAATTTGGTCAGGTGCATAACAAACACCAGCAATTGCACTCCCTTGGGAAGTTGATGGTGGATTGCACTCCTTCCATCGATGATGCCGTGTGGTTTGGTAATAGAAAAGAACTAAAAGAAACCTTTGAACCAAATTAGGAGCATCATATTCTAGCTGCATTGGATCCTGATTGACTATCCAATCAAATGCTTGCTGCCTTGTTTCCACCATAAATTGTTCATCATCATATCCCTCTTCCACTTGTTGAAAGTAGTCCTTTCCGAGGAGGCTGGTCAGGACAGTTTCAATCTTGGGTGCGTCGACAGCATCTCTTGTTGTGGTGGGTGCAATGGTACGGCTACCATCCACGTACACATTCTGGCTACATTGTCCAGTGCCACATACAACCCCTACAATGATAGCAGCAACAACCAATAGGAAGCATATGCCTCCCATGAGATAGAACGGTAAATTGCTCTGTTGCGAATTGAATTTAGTGCCATGATCTGCTGTGGCAATGGGTAGGTCGTGGTCGGCAACAGGTCGTGCCTCTGCCAATGACTCCGGCGGAGGTGGTTGGATGTCTCCTCCTTCCTCTTCATTAACAGCAGTATTCTGAGTTTCGCCACTGGTCGATGGATTTGTTTGTTGTTGTGACAAGGTTCCGAATGGATTGCAAATAGAATATGCTCCTGGAATACTGGCACGGCTGCCAGCAGGTGGCAAAGTTTGGGTCCCTGGCAAATCTTGGAGCCAAGTTGGTAATGGCAAGGTGTTGTTGTCTTCATTGGTGGTAGAAATCCCCACAGAAACTACTGATTTTCTTCTGCCATCAAGAATTCCCGGATCCTTGTTCTGTCCCAGGGGAAGAACCTTAACACCGTGCTCGTCTTCATTGGCTATTCTCTTTGCGACCTCATCCTCACTTTCCTCCTCCTGAATGGTTGGATCAATGCCAGCTGTGTCTTCATCTGATTCACAGGAAATTTGTGGAACCGAGTATATTTGGGTTTTCTGGTTGATTCTGGATTCCAAGCTTCCCAGGGACGGGACAATGGGTGGTGCCTCCCTTTTGGTGGCTTTTTCTCGTTCATTTAGGATTTGATTTTCATGGATTTTTTGGTTGCTTGCAGTGATACTCTTGCTACACGTGTCAGCGGGATCTTGCGACGATTTCTCAGGAAGAGGTGGCAGAACGCTCGGATAGATTTCTGTTGTCGTCTCTGCTTGCTGTGCAACTGGCTGAAAGGTGGGATCCTCTACCTCATCCATGTCGTGTAAATTCGGTAGCGGTGGTGGTTGTTGATTGGTGCTACCGGTACTGGGCAGAATCCCATCAGTAAGATCAGCTCCAATGTCAGCTCTGGTTGGATAACGTAAATGTAGTGTGCTGGGATTGGAATCCATGGTGTAGAATCGAATCTCTTCACGGAGGCCTGGTGGCAGCAGCAGCGGTTGTTTTCTTTTATGGGAGGGTTCCTCGATCGATCGCTTCTCTTGACGGACGCCATACGGACGTTCTGGGGATGTCACCGGTACAAAGCAAAGCATCCGCGTTGCGTTTGGGAGAAGGGGGGGTTCATGTCTATCAGGGTTGAGCAAAGCAAGCTAGGCATCCAGAAGCTGCCTAGTAGAAGCTACCAGTAGAAGAAGAAGGAGAGCCCAGGCCAAGAACCACGAGATTTGGACAAGCGAAGGGGCACAGAAGACGGAGGGCTGCCTACATGTAGCTACCGGCAGTAGCTAGCTAGCGTGGCTATTGATCTCCTCACACAGCCTCCGGAATCGAATTGATCGATTCTGACTACATGTACTTCATCGAATCTGACATTTACGCACGAAACTAGACTATCATCTTCGTTTTGGAGCCAAGTCCCATGCTACTATAGTAATACTCCATAGCGCACCTGCAATCTACTTTCTGTCCCTGCTAACTAACTTGATAGCTTTGGTCAAAAGATAGATAGATAGATTCGATTCACTGCCTGATGCCAAGAGCAAGTCTTGTCCTCTTGACTTTTCGGAAATACGGTACCGTACTCCGGTAGTACCACCAGGTTGTGTGTGAAAAGCAAAGTCTCATGACTCTACCTTGCTTCTTGGTTGGTTGGTGCTTCCAGTAAAACCTACTCCATACTTGTAGCTGCATTAGCATAACGGAGCTGCCATCGCAAGACCGCTCCAGTTTTCACAGACAACATCATTGCTGGCAATGCCACCGGTATGTTACATGTACCAGTAGTCTACCAGTAGTGTCTGCTAGCTAGGCCCCTATCTAGTCTAGTAGCCCCAACCGACCGTACCGGTACTCACATTTAGACCTATGGCGGAAGGAGCTATGGGAGATGGGAGACCGTTGTGTGGAAAATCAAATTGTGAGACTGCAGGAGCACTCTAAGTAGGATGTTGCCGTCACCAGTGGCTGTTCTGTACTGCTTTCTGAATGACCCAGTGGTTACTCTAAGCCTTTCTATTCTATGGCGTCTTCACTGTCATCTCAAAACTACTAAGCCCAGCAAGACACCTTTAATTGCGACCGTTATGTCTGCCGCGACGTGCTGTCAAAGGAAGTGACCTGCCAGTCCGACAAGGACTGGCTCATTTGATTTCGATTTCAACCGCAAAGCTTCCACCGTTCGCCATTGCTTCGCTTCATTCATCATTTGGACGTAAAAGGTACCACTACCAGTAACAACAACAGCGACACAACACCACAAGATAAGATGAACGAATCCATGGTGGCCAGAGAAATCACTGTCGATAGGAGGAGGCTGTCGACCACGAATATTGGCGGGAGTAGAGTTGCCGATCTGTATAGTGGCGGTCATCATCATCCTAGTAGGAGGGCCAGCACCATGAACATGGAACAACGACACGATCCGTACGAAGGTGCTCTTCAGCTCATGGAGAATTTCACCAGCAAGCAGCAGCAACAGCAAGGTCACAAGAGTAAGACTGTCGTTGTTGTTCTGTTGCTTATCGGTTTCAGATTTTAAAAATATTTTTCTCACATTTATTTTTCTAACTTTGCTAACCACGGCTCGGATCAACCTGGTGTAGATCCCAATCCCGCTGGCTTTTTGAAGAAATTGATCCGCATTGGTTCCATGGGCTCGATGAATTCGAGAGACAAGGACAAGCGCAACAACAACAAGACATGGGAAAGTCCCAGTGACAAAAAGAACAAGACCTGGAACCTTGGTGCCCAGTTCCACAAGAATAAGGGCACTACTAAGGACCCTCTGGCATTGACCAACAAGAAATCCTCGTCCAACAAAAAGAAACCCCCTCTTCCACCTTCCTTTGTCTATGTCAAGGGCAGCAGCAGCCGCAACCTAAAGGATCCGTTGCATCAGTTGTCGCAGTCACAGCAACAACTCGAGCACACGCAACACACGGCTACGGGCGCTACGGCCATGCTCGGTGACAGCTTTAATACGCTTGGAGTGCAAAGCCGTCGTCATAGTCACCAGCAGCAGCAGCAACTTGTGGTGGTGGAAACGAGCGAACAAAACTACAAACAAGACATGCACGACGACGTGCACTATGTACTCTACGGAGCGGACGGCGAAGATGACGAAGAATCCTTTGTTTCGTCCGTTTCCGGTTCCTCCGTGTCCATTCAAGAGCAGCTCATGCACCAACGAGTCTTCCAGCCGGCGAAATCCAAAACACCCTCCGATGCCGTCCGCAATCCTCACAACAAAAATTATGAATACTCCCTTCCACCGTTGTCTCCCAGTAAGAACAACAAGCGATGCCAGTACCAACCACCCACCACACTGGAACAAGGACATCGTCGTGCATCCTTTACCACCGTCGGCAACAGCAAGCGTCTCGAAGCGGTAGCCATTCAGAATCGGTCCTTGCGAAACGTTCAGGAATGGCAACCACCCACAAACAACAACAACAACAACGGCGTCAAGAATCACAGCTATCTCGATCGCGAACATGCATCACCGCATGCCATTGATGCCCTCGTGCCGAAAATAACACCGGGTCGTTGCCAGGATCCCATCATGACGGCACCGGATTCGGCCATTTCACGACAACCCAAATCGTGGCCGCGAAACAGTACCGACACTTCCACGTATGCATCGTCTCCCACGGTCCTCCTCCAACAGCAACACAAACAACCACCGCGCATTGCAAATGCCACCAAAGACCGACAACGACACTTGCAAGAAATGAATGAACGGGGGTGTGATTGGTTTCCGTTGGAGGGACAACAGCAACAACAACAAGATAGTAGTAGGAACGCCAAGGCCGATCGACCCGCCGTCGTGTCGACCCATCAAGTCTCCTCGATGGTGTCCAGATTCGAAAACGCTACCTCTGCCACAACGCCAACACAATCCAACGACGCAAATACGAAAAAATCGGAACTGGTTCAAATCTATCCGGGCATGTATGTTCCATTACGGAGTGCCCAAGAAACCAAGGTCGCCATTGCCAATGACTTTTATCGAAGCATTCCCTGCTGGAGCTGTTCCACATCCATGTTTTGTATTCTCGATGCTGCCTATGTCATTTGCCCCACGTGTCGCGTCATTAGTCCCTTGGAGGATGGGAGCGATGGACGTGTCATGGTACGACGAGGATTGGGCATGGGATTTACCGGCAAAACACTCTGTGAAATGAAACGAGACAACAATAACAACAAGTAGGTATGCCAAAAGAAGAAACGAAACGTGGCGCGCCTCTACTCTATACTTGCAAATTAATATTGAGGTATCAGCTATACATGTATTATCAGTAGTTACCACTTCATTCATTTTCAGGGTCGATTGTTCCATCTAGTAGGATTGCTTCTGCTGTGACAGGTGAGGATCGAATCCCTCTTGGCTTTCAGCGCATCCACCTCAGGTGAGTCGTCTTCGTATGAGTGCTTTGCCGTGTATGGCTGAGGTGCCCCAGATGCATATTGCTTCCTGGGGACGTGCTTGTTCTCTCATTCCAAACTTTGACTTTGCCCAAATATTCTTCTTTACTCCATCAGTTGGGCAATTTCCAGCTTTTCCGCATCCTGCCATTTGGTGTTGCCATTCTTCTCGTCGATGAAGACCGCTTCGGCATGGTTTCTGGGAACTTGAAATCCGTACTGATAAACTGGCTTGGTACGGAAGTTCTTGAGCCTGGCTTGGTGTACCATGCGGGCAAAGACCTTGGCGTTCTTGGTATAGGGTTTGCACCGTTTCCATCCATCGACCTTGAGTAGGTCATTCTTTAGGTGGAGATAGACACGGGGTCGTCATTGAAGATACTCCCCATGTCTTCCCAGGAGGCTTCACCACTGGCCCATTGGACCAGGACCTCATATTTGGAGTTTGTCCTGGAAGGACGGTGGTTGCTGACAGCATCAATACGCCTGCCCGACTTTTGGATCTTCTTGTGAAAGATATCATACTTTGGGTGCTGCTTTCCCGAAAGATCACACTTGTCAAAGACATCTCGGTCTTCTAGGTGACACTGGATCCCCAGCCGAGCACAGTACACTGGTGCATTCCCCAAAAACTTGATGATGGTCCAGAGCTTGGAAAGAGCATGCCACTGGGGAGATTCATGAAGTATCTGAACTGTTGGCTGGAGGCCTGTCTTGACACTTCTGAGTGCTTTGTGCAAAGGGGGGACAAATGCTAAGCCTTGGGGTATAATTTGACAGGCATGCACACATTTGCCAACAAGGGATTCACACTCCTTGAGTTTGGTGTAGCCATTGTGGAGTGTCCGTTCCATGGAAGCTGCGATTTCGGCTACCATTACAGGAGAGAGCTGCATGGTACCTTGGCAGCTATCAAATATCCCACCAAGAATACCATTGGTGGTGTCCCAAGTGCCTTCACGTTTATTAAGGTTGAGTTTCCTGGCCTTACGTTTGTCACCATGACTTGTCTGCCTTTGCCTGGCTGATTGGCCGTGCCATGGTAATTCATGAGAAGAATGAGACATGAATGGCAGTGGGACTGAAACACAGCTTGTTAGAGATTCTGATGCAGCTGCTGATACTCAAAGCACAAGGCCAACTTGCTACCTACTAAATAGTTGGAGGTAGCTAGCTAGTACTGGCAAGGGGTAGCCTTCAACACAAGCAGAGAAGGGTCAGACTCGGACTCTAGCTAGCTATCTGGCCTGGTTAGCTAGTTGGCATTACGGTTCTTGTAGGAACGCTGAAGATCTTTATTTTCTTAATGCAAGGTCTCGCTGCGCTGCAGGTTTGGCGCCAAACATGCGCGTTCTGCTGCGATCTTCCTTTTACCGTGGCTATCGATAGGAGGGACAGCTTTGCAGTGACGATTACTTCTCGTAGAGCTACCTACTAGCTATTAGCAAGAAGCAAGAAGCACTTCCCATAAAAAGTATTGTCGCTGTCCACAATTCGAGTAAAGCTTGCAGCTGGAGGCCCTCTGGTTATCCGTACCGGTATCGCAGTACCGGTAGCCCCACCAAAGTATATCCGTCACGTGCGTGCACACGGTGAAGCGATTGGAAATTCAGCATTGCCCAACATTATTAGCCTCCACCAGCTACTAGTAGTTGCTTCGATCGTTCCTGAAATGAAGCTCAGCTCCTCCCGTCTTTTGGCTGCTGGCTGTTTCGTTCAAATCCCGTCGTTCTCTTCTGCTTTCTCTCGTGCAAGTTCCCAGCATCGAATCATGGCTGCCACCACAGCCATCAATTCTGCGTCGTACAAAGAGTGGGACGTTGAACGCTACCAAGATCAACACAGTTTTGTGTGGGAATACGGCCGTGGTTTGATTGATTGGCTCAAGCCATCACAAGGAGAACGCATCTTGGACGTAGGATGCGGAACGGGTGAATTGGCCGCTCAAATTGCCGATGAATACGACACGGTATCGGTCGTTGGAATGGACCGTGATCCTGCCATGATTGCTCAAGCGAAGCAACAGTTCCCTCATGTATCCTTTGTGCAAGGAGACGTCCGTACGTTGGATTGTTTTGCCGATGACGACCCCTTGTTTGATGCCATTTTTTCCAATGCCGCCTTGCACTGGGTGCCGTCTGCCGACGCAAAACAGTCTGTCCAAGCCATGTCTCGAGTCCTGAAACCGGGAGGTCGTTTCGTCGTCGAGCTTGGTGGCAAAGGGAACATTCAAACCATTCTTTCCTCCATGCAACAAGTGTTTGGCAGCGATACGAATCCCTGGTACTTTCCCAGCATTTCGGAATACACGACCCTGTTGGAGCAGCACGGCGACATGGAGGTGTTGTCAGCCACGTTGATCGATCGTCCGAATCCCCTGGTGGGACCGGATGGTGTTGCGAACTGGGTGCGAATGTTTGGCAGTTCGTTTCTGCATGATGTGGAAGAAGAAGACATGGAAGAAGCCCTCGAGCAAATCCAAGAAACGTGCCGGGCCAAGTTATACGACGCGGAGGCGAAGCAATGGGTGGCGGATTATCGACGCCTTCGAATTGTGGCGCAGAAGAAGGGCTAGCTACCAGTAACAGTGCCGAAGCTGCGTGGGACCTACCGTAAAGGATGTTGCCAAAGTAATTTCCCTACTCTAAACCCCCACCTTTCATTGTGGTGCAGAAGAAGGGCTAGCTACCAGTACCAGTACCAAAGCTGCGTGGGACCTACCGGTACCGTAAAGGATGTTGCCAACGCACCTCCATGGATGTCGCACGGTATCGCAAGATGGTTTTGAAACACTCTACCGGCCATACTATGATTCAAAAATAACTGACTAGATTTTATTAATCAATCAATCCACTAGTCTAGTTAGAAATACGGCGTACTCTGTGTCAACAACGTGGCCTGACTGGTGCTGCTGGTGCCAGCCGATTTGGATTTTCGAAACTGATTGCTGAGCTCCAACATTTTGTTCTTTTGCGATTCGATACTGGACAGCGTGGACGACGATGTCCGGGACGTGGCGGTGGTGGCCGTCCGCGTGGATTCATCCATCAATATTCCACTGCCCAATTTGACGAGTCCCAACGACGTGCGATTGCGCGACGATGCTTTGCGGTGCAAACCGGGTCTCTTGGTTCCACTACTTCCACTGGGTCGTCGTCGCGAGTCAACTTTCTTGGAGGATGTTCGGTTCATGGGGGGTGGATCGTCTTCTTCCTCGTCGAGTGACTTTTGCATTGCAGCCTTTGATTTGGAGTGTCGTTTGGGTGGCAGTCTCTTTTTGGTAGTAGTAGTGAATTGTTCTTCGTCGTCGGAACCTTCCGAAGCACTGTCACTGAAGAGTTCTTCTGATCTCTTTTTGGTGGCACTTTCACTTTTTCTTCTTGAGTCGACTTTCATGGACGACTTTCGTTTCATGGTTGTGGGTGGTGGAACTGGATCATCCTCCTCGTCATCGTCATTGTCGTGGGAGAGATTGGAAAGTGACTTGTGCATTTTGGCCTTTTCGAGCTTGGCAGATCTGGAGTTTCGTTTGGGTGGTAGTCGCTTCTTGGTGGTGAATTGTTCTTCATCCTCAGAACTTTCGGAACCGCTGTCACTGAGTGGTTCTTTCTTTTTGGTTCCACATTCACTCTTTCTTCTTCGCGAGTCGATTCTCTTGGACGACTTTCGTTTCATGGTAGTGGGGGGTGGTACGGGATCATCATCATCATCATCATCGTCGTTGTAGGACATTTTTGACAGTGATTTGTGCATTGTAGCCTTTTCAAGCTTGGCGGATTTGGAGTTTCGTTTGGGAGGCATTCTCTTCTTTTTCTTGGTGCTGAATTGTTCTTCATTGTCAGAACCTTCCGAAGCACTGTCACTGCGTTCTTGCTCGTCATCCTTGTTGTCGGACCAAATTTCTTCTTCCACGCTCGACTCATCGTCATCATCCAATCCGAGAAGACTAGGACGCTTATTGTTCATGAGATTGCGCCGGGATGTGGATCGCGAGCTCTGTTTGGGTGGCAACTTTCTAGTGCTGGGCGGTCCTCGACTATTGCGTCTGGATGGTAACCGACGACCACGTTCTACCAGCATTGGTTGTTGTTGTTGTTGTTCGGGTCCACTGTCATTGTCATCGTCTTCGTCGTTCTCTGTGAGTCCAGAAAAGTCGGACATTTCCGTGTCTTTGGGGGGTGGTGCCAATTTGGGAATGTTACTCTTGCTGGACTCTTCCAATTCATCATTTTCTTCGCCTCCTTGTTTGGACTGTAGATCTTCGGCTCGTTGTTCTACAAAATCGGCAAAGGAATCATGAGGGTCGGGCTCAATTTTGAGACAGCGTTGCGACTTTCGTCGTGTCAATGCCTTGTCAAAGACAGCCGCTTGCATTCGTTCTTGCGATTGAATATTTTGTACGTCCAATCGACGTTGGGAACGTCGACGTTGCAATTCTTTCGATAACGTCGGTCGCCCCACATTGGCGAGAGCACCGGTATTATGATCCGATGGTTGTTGGGAATCCACTAGGCGTCTCCGCCCTCGTCGCAGTAGTGGATTGGAGGATGATGATTCCTCCGCTTGTGCTTGTGCCTCTTCTCCTCCTCCGACGGCTGCCATGAGAGACGCTCCTCGCAGACTCTGACTGCGTCTCATCATGGTGGCTCTTCGATTAATACTGTTAATGTTGTTGTTGGTTCCACCATGGCTGGCCGTGCCTGTCAAACCATCCGCACTAATATTGCGTCGAATACTGTTGGCACGGGCCAACATTCCGGGACGGGCCAACGAAGGACGACCCTTGTTTCGGGGGGCTTCTTCTGCTGGTTGTTGTACCTCTTCCACGGAATGCTCACTCCCCTCACTGTCGTCGTTGTCACTATGGGAACCATCCAATCGCTTGGTGGCACTTCCTCGAGAGCTGCGTCGTCGGCGTTGTTGTTCTTCATTTCCTTGTTGTTGTGGCTTTCGAGAACTCCGTCGTTGACTCTTGGCATGTACACTGCCACTACGACTGCGACTACACTTGGGCTGTTGTTCTTCTGCTGTCTTATTGCGACCTCGACTCGAGCGACGCTTGCTGCTCTTGCTGCGTCGTCGCTTTTCCAATTCGGCATTGTCGGCACCACCATTGTCGGACGATCTGCCTCTGCCGCCACTGCTACGAGAGGACGACTTGGTGTGGCTCATCTTCGTCGTTGGTTGTTGTGGATTGTGGTGAGTGTTGCTAGCTAGTAGCTATTGACTAACTAGCTAGGTAGGTTGTGCTGGTGAAATAATGGGCAGTGGGCGATGGAATGGATAGAGAAGTGGACAATGTTTCACTGGGTTGTGGTGTGGTGGTGGCTTGGACGACTGTCTGTGCCGTTGGTTTCGCTGCCACCGTCTCGTGTTCTTGTTTCGGCTTGGCTCCAGCAGCTTCCGGGTCCAAGAGCTATTATTTAAATACAGCAGAACTCCTCGTTGCACCATCTAACCATTGTGTCTTGCAAAAAGACCACCTGTTCTACTCATTCTCCATCAAACTGCCGATTGATAAGCTTCTGATTCTCTTTCAAATCGTCTGTTCTACGTTGATGAGATCTTGATGTGAATCAAGATGACCGACTCGAAAGCACCTCACTAAGGATTTAATTAAGCTAATCCCGGAAGTATTCAGATTCCTTCGGAGAATCTTGTCCTATTCAGAGAAATGTCATTATCGTTAATTCAACTGTACTCCGACCAAGTATTGCTTCAGAGTGGTACTGTAGCAATACTAACAGTAGGTATGCTTCTCACGAAGTTCTCGGTATCTGAGAGGTTTTTGTCTTATTTCGGTTGTTCTTGGGATCCTCCTTGGTTTCTTCAAATACGGTACAGCTAGCGCTTTGTTCTGTGCCGGGAGAACAATGGTCATAGTTAAGTCGAGGGCGACACTGTCTTGGATGTCAACTGCAACGCCGCTCTGCTGGCTACCGGTACGCGTGCATCTGTGCAGCCCTCACATTCGAGTTTTGTTGTGAGGATCGGCAGCAGCAATGCCAAGATGGATACCCTTGCATAGCTGCAGTACTCCACGCTATTTGAAGTGCGCCGTGAATACTGTAGCATGGATTCCAATCCAAGCACACTAAATGATCCAACTGGAGCCGAGCATGATTGGATGCTGCCCAGGAGTACCAATCAACAACCACCACAACAAGATGATGTCTCTGTGGTGAACCCACCCAGTTTTATTAATGTCCCAAGTCCCGAAGACATGAGCTGTGCTTCTTCGGTCACGACACGACATTTCCAAGATGCCGAGCTATTTGTCCCACACATGTACCCATCAGCTCAGAATCTACGTGACTCTGACAATGATGTAGAGAACCCTACCTTTCAGCCAGTCACACAGCAAACCAAGCCAACCACGATTCAGCCTGTTTTACCACCTCTTCCCGAGGGATCGTCGCAAGACCCAACTGACAGCAATAGTATCACTGCAAGCCAACAAAAAATTGATGAAATTAGAATCCTCAAGGAACAACAAAAAGGGACCAAACAGGAGGCATCATCCAATGTTCCATCCATGGCAAGCTTGGAATCAAAAATCAACCACAAAACCCAAACATACTTGGTTCCACAAATTTCCTGTGAATCAAATGGAGACACTGGCATTGATCCAATCGTTCAGGAGGAGAAAAGTGAGGATGAGGTCGCAAAGAGAATAGCCAATGAAGACGAGCACGGTGTTAAGGTTCTTCCCCTGGGACAGAACAAGGATCCGGGAATTCTTGATGGCAGAAGAAAATCAGTAGTTTCTGTGAGGATTTCTACTGCCAATGAAGACAACAGCACCTTGCCATTACCAACTTGGCTCCAAGATTTTCCAGAGCCCCAAAATTTGCCACCTGCTAGCAACCGTGCCAGTTTTCCAGGAGCATATTCTATTTGCAATCCATTCGGAACCTTGTCACAACAACAAACAAATCCATCGACCAGTGGCGAAACTCAGAATACTGCTGTTAATGAAGAGGAAGGAGGAGATATCCAACCACCTCCGCCGGAGTCATTGGCAGAGGCACGACCTGTTGCCGACCACGACCTACCCATTGCCACAGCAGATCATGGCATTAAATTCAATTCGCAACAGAGCAATTTACCGTTCTATCTCATGGGAGGCCTATGCTTCCTATTGGTTGTTGCTGCTATCATTGTAGGGGCTGTATGTGGCACTGGACAATGTAGCCAGAATGTGTACGTGGATGGTAGCCGTACCATTGCACCCACCACAACAAGAGATGCTGTCGACGCACCCAAGATTGAAACTGTCCTGACCAGCCTCCTCGGAAAGGACTACTTTCAACAAGTGGAAGAGGGATATGATGATGAACTGACTGAATTTATGGTGGAGACAAGGCAGCAAGCATTTGATTGGATAGTCAATCAGGATCCAATGCAGCTAGAGTATGATGCTCCTAATTTGGTGCAAAGGCTTCTTTTAGTTCTCATCTACTACCAAACCACACGGCATCATCGATGGAAGGAGTGCAATCCACCAGCAACTCCCCAAGGAAGTGCATCAGGTAATTTCTGCTATAGGCTTGATCCTTTCACAGGGGACACAACATCATCCATCTGGGGTGATCAGTGGCTCTCTGCCCGTCATGAATGCCAGTGGGCTGGAGTGATCTGTGAGACTGTGTTGTCAAAAGAGAGGACAGTTGTTGAGCTACGAATGCGTAAGTCTTTTAGGCCAGACAGGTGGATTGCATCATTGTTTCTTACACATAGGAATGTATTCTTCAGGGTGGAATCAGCTCAATGGCCCTCTTCCATGGGAGATTGCACTCTTGCCACACCTGAAACAGCTACATTTGAATGACAATGTGCTGAGTGGAGTGTTTCCACCAAAGCTGCTCTCTTTTTCATTGGAACAGCTGATGTTGGGCAACAACCAACTCTCCGGACCCCTCCCTGCCAGATGGTTTGAAACTCTCCATGAAGGAAATGCAAAACTCGTCAATCTTCAAATCTCTTCAAACAGACTGACTGGGACAATCCCCTCTGAAGTGGGGATTTCCCCCTTGAAGAGCCTTGGTCTCAGGAAAAATTCACTGACAGGGTCTCTGCCACTGGAATTTTTCCACATGGGTTCTTTTAAGAATCTAGATTTTGCTCAAAACGATGTGAGTTATTGACATCCTCTTTTGTTGCACAAGCAGCCCAAACCATGAAGAATCTCACCTTTGGCCTCATTCCTCAATCCTTCCTTCTCATGAAGCTTACGGGCACCCTGCCAAGTGAAATTGGATTGCTAACGCACCTGCATTATATCTTTTTGAGTCACACTGGCATTGCAGGAACCTTGCCCTCAGAGATTGCCCTGCTGAGCACACTTAGGGAGATTGATTTGTCCTTTACCAACATGCAAGGGACACTCCCGGAAGAAATGTACACCGGACTCACAGACCTTCGTGCTTTTTCTGGCAATAACTGCAACTTTTCTGGGACTATCAGTTCATCACTTGGTCTTTTGACAAGTCTATTTTGGCTGCATGTGTCCAACAACAACTTGCACGGCACAATTCCCAATGAGATTGAAGAGTTGACTAAGCTGACCAAACTGGCAGTGGATGGGAATCAGTTCACCGGCACTGTTCCAGCATCTGTATGTCATTCTGCTGCTTATGTTGATAATTATGGAGGCACTTCATTGGTTGTTGCTGACTGCTTGCCAAATACAGAGACCGGTGTGCCCGCCATCGAATGTGCCACGGATTGCTGCACCAGTTGTTGTGACGAGACTGGGGTTTGTCTTGCTAACTAGATTGACTTTGACGTTTAAGTCAAGTTAGTTATAGTTAGGTAGTAAGGTATACCATTCTACCAACGGGAGCTTTTGGTTTCTTTTGTTGTCCTTTTTCTCTGTTCGAAACTCGAAACTGTAACTAGTTAGTTAGTCCCAGACCTTGAAGAATGGGAGAGAAAAATGCTGGAACACCTTGAGCTTTTAGTCGAGGAGACAGAACTATGGGAAACCCTCTGCAACGAACCATGTATCATATCCAGTGACGGCTCATCACCCAACCCCAAAGGCTCATTTGCATGGATCATTAGCAAAAACATGATGGCACACGCCTAGCCCGCTGCTGTGGACCAGCCTTCGGTTACAAAATCAACTCCTACAGAGCAGAAGGATACGGAATCCTCTCAGCAATGAGGTTCTTAGCACAGCTCCAAAAGATTCATTCACCCAACAAACAAGAGATTCTCACCAAGCATGAGCACCTCTGTGACAACAAAAGCATCGGAGAAGTAGTCACCAAGCACACATCATTTCACAAAATATACCCCAACACCACACTGGGCTCTGAGTGGGACATCATTGCAGAAATCAGACACACAATGTTAGAAGACCTCGACGAAGCATCCAGGCCCTCAATCCATCACTTAAAGGGACATCAAGACGACAACAAACCATATAACCAACTCCCGCTGAAAGCTCAGCTGAATGTAGATGCCGATAAGCTAGCCGACACATGGCTCCAAGCTCACTCGGACACCGACTTCACCAGAGCACCCATCTTACCCACCAGTGGATGCCAAGTTGAACTGAAACAAGGAACAGTCACATTCAATCTCAAACAAGAGCTGAAACATGCCAGAACCTACCCACTGCTCAAACAGAAATTGATGAAAGATTACAACTGGTCAGAAGACACATTCAATGACATTGACTGGACCGCACATGGAAGAGCTTTGCGAAGACACGATAATCATCGTCCAACAATGGTCAAATACCTCAACAAAGTCCTACCTGTCGGAGCATTCCTCCATAAAACAAACCCCAAGTATTACGCAGGATGTTGGAGGTTGTATTACAGACACCTCAATACAAATTAGTCGTTTATCCCAATCTAGTTTAGAGGGGATATCTATATCTATTCTCTAGTTACATACATGGGGAGTTTAACTGATCTATATGGTCACCCCCTTCACTATATCCTTTGAAGTTGAATCAATCCCAGAAATACATGGAGAAAGATCACTTCTTGGAAATAGCTTAACAGTAAAACAGTATTTTACCTTTACTAAGCTAGAGTGTTACTAGCAACCAACACTATTTCCAAGAAGTGTTTCATCTCTCGAATTCGAGATCTCGTCGCCAATGGCGACATCGATAACGACATCCTAGGCTATTGCATGATATCAAGCTAAGGTGAAGGCAACAGGTGTAGCAAACGGCTCAGGCAAAAAGGGCTCTAGCCTCAGCAAGAGAGCTATCCCAACAGCCTAACAGAAAAAAGGCAACACCACGAAACCGTGGAACGACGAAGAGATTGGTCCTCCTATACTGAAGACGACCAAATCATCGCAATCCAAGTATACCACCCTTGAAGATAATTACTAACTACTCCACTCTATTGCT